TTTATGGTCCATTCTTAGGTTTTGTTTCAAAACCCGCCAGATTTTTGACAAGTCAGAAACAAAATCCGCTACATCCACTTCAACCAATCACAGTGCTGCATTTTGACAGATAAGCGTCATGGGGTAATTAGATGCAGTAATTAATGGTCGCTCATGCTTTTGTAAGTGTTTCTGTGCTGAGTATTATCGCGAGTTTTAATAAAAACAATGTCCGATTTAACAAAAATAAAAACAATGTCCGATTTAACAACTAGTTCGAAGATAGAAGCGAATAGTCGACAAAAATAATTAGAAAAGGGAGAAAAAACGGCTGGAACGGTGAGTCAAACTTTCATAGTGAATGTTTCTGTTTTTGTATTATGTACTTGTCATCGAGACCTGATTCATTAGGCGTTATTTTATTGTAGGATTTTATTACACACAGGATATTTTCTACCAGATAGCAATAAATTATTGTATTGTTTATTTTCAGATATTCTGCGAAAAAACTACCACCTTTCCCAAATTGTAAGCATAAAACCAATAGTACTTTCAAATGCCTTACACTTAAAACACAACATGTAGCTCGGTTTCACAATAATTTTTACAAACTGAAAACCAAAATAAGCCAAGACAACTTCATTTTAAAACACCGTCGTCTCTCTACATGCCGCAGACAGAGACTTAAAAATCAGTCTAGAGGGCCAAAGAATTTAAGTGCGAACTACTATGTAACAATTAAAAATCCACAGAAAGAGGTCAGGGTATGTAAAAGTGCTTTTATTAAAATATTGCAAGTGGGGAAAGATAGAGTTACAGGCATTCTACAGAGATCATACAAAGATGGAGGCGGGGTTGCTAAAGAGAATTGAGGTGGTAACCACAAACAAGTTCGATATGAACAAAGAAGAGGGGTAATGGAATTCATTGAGTCATTAGAAGCAGCTGAACTGCACTATTGTAGGGCAAAATCATCTATGAGACTTTATTTACCGCCAGAATTAAATATTAATAAGTTGTGGAAAATGTATGAAGAACAAGTTGCAGATAGTCCCCATTTAAAAGTGAAACAGGAATATTTCAGACACATTTTTAACAGAAAATACAATGTTGGTTTTGGCTCTCCCTTGAAAGATACTAGTTCCAGATGTTTTGAACTAAAAAGACAAATAGAAACTACTAATGGGCAAGAGAAACAGGAATTTATAACCCAAAAGTGGTAACATAGCTTAAAAGCCAAAGCATTTTATGACCTACTAAAAAATGAAGCTCCTGATATTATTTCCTTATCATTCGATTACCAAAAAAATAGCCCACTGCCTAAACTGCCCGATCAAGCAGCTTACTTTATTTAGCAGACAGTACTATTGTCATTGGTAGTTTTGCTTTAGATACTGACGAACTTATTATTAGTGCAGTATTCGACACATTAATTAGTCTAGATATCCCCAATAATAAAACATGCGTAAGATTTTGCTTACGGTTGCGGCGGGCAAAACTAAAACACGATTCTAGTAAGAATGTGCATGAAATGGCTGTTTTCGAATGCACCACCGCATTTAAAAAAAACTGGAAATTATATTCCCAATGGTGGGACACTCTTTCTTGCCCGGCAGAGTTATTGCGAAAATCGAAAAGGAAGGAAAGAAACTATCTGTCATATGCGACACACAAACCTATTTAAATTTATTTACAAAACAGGCAACTATTGTAAAACATTTGGGTGTGGACGTTGAAGTGTATGACTGGAAGACCCGAGTGGGTAAAGTATGCAAGCCTCCTGGAAGTTGGCATTTTAAATTCAATGCTTCAAAAAGGTTCATACTACACAAAGGACGACAAAACGTAAGTTTGCAAGTAGAACTATAAGAGTGATTATTGTCGACCAATATATGTAAAAAAAAAAAGAATTGCTCTGAATTAGCACCCACAATTCGACGAGGAGGCAATAAAGTGAATGATAAAAAAAATAGTGATGTTTCAAACCTGTTATCAAAGCATTTCGGGGAAGACTGGAGAACTGTTGAGAGTCTGGCTTATTACAAAAACATTGAACTTAAAAATGGCAACTATGAAGAACGGGAAGATTTAGTATGCATACCGCTTGAAGAAAGTGAAAATTATATTTAGCGATTTGTATCTGTAGTAGCTCCTACCTATTATTAAATTCAAGTTTTTAATTTCATTTCCTCTGAATCTGTCGTTTTAGAACATCCTGTAAGTTGAAAAAAATCGAGTGTATTTTTGTATCAATCCCCGCCATATCCTGTGAAAAACAAAATCCGTCAGATCCGTATGTTATTATCAATACCTGCTACATCCATTTTTTTTCTATCATTTAATATTAATTTCCTTTGTAATCTGCAATTGTAAAATTTGTAATCGCACAAAATTCTTATAGTAGTTATATTACCTTATATTAAAAATTAACGGATAAACGTTAAGTTTGCCAAACAAAAAATGTAAATACCGTAAAATTCATCTTTCTGGATCTGGCGGATTTTGATTTTATACGACACGTATATACATTACAGAACGGTAATACAAGTAAGAATATCAGATCTCGTGGCGTATATATTACAGATATATTTATACAGTTCTAAGACTATAAAAGTAGCTCGGTGGCGTAATCGTTAAGCAACTTTCGCAAGGGTCGGTCACGGGATGGGTGACCCAAAAATTATTATCTCGAGCTACTCCGTGCTTCGGAAGGCACGTTAAGCCGTTGGTCCCGGCTGCATTTGCAGTCGTTAATACCCTCCAATCCGCATTGGGCCAGCGTGGAGGGTCATGGCCCATCCTCCTTAACCATCCATAAGGAAGACCTGAACCCCTGCAGTGGAGACGCAAAAAGGGCTGGTGATGAAGACTATAAGCTCGAAAAAAAGAAACTTTTGAAACGACCTTATGGTTTTGAGCAACATGTTTGCTATTCAATGATCCGTGTGGCGACGCCGCGTACCTACTCCTTTTGTAAGGGCCTAAATAAAATAGTCTTACCTCCGTTTTCTCTAACCTAGAACAATGCATAGCTTAACAAGGAAACACCTACTTTTACGAACAGACCAAGTTCTTCAGTTAAATTCCAAATAATAATTTGTTCTTTTATCCCTTGACACAATTGCGAGCTGTCATATTCCACAAATGCCTAGCGCGAGGTTCCGCATGACGCATATCATAATAACTTTAGACATTACTTAATGTCCTTAGTGTTCCTTCTTAGTCATTGGCAAAATGCATTTTCATCTTAATCGATTCATAAATATTTAGCCGACTGATAAGCAAAAACGAGTCTCAGTCAAAACGAACATTAGTTCCGTTCCTTCACAGTAAGAATAAGAGGTTATTGCATATATTAAAAAAAAATCGTGCAGCTTTTTGTTTTTGTAAAAGAAATGTCGCAATTTTTTTTTTTTGTACATTTGTCCGAAAGTGAAAGTGTTACTGTTGAGCGTAAGAGGACGTTGAGTCGGTGGAAGTATGTGATGATTTTAGAGTACCTGAAAGATCAGACTTCACAAGCTTTCTTCTTTCTGTATACAATCTCCAAAAAAATTACGTTAGATATGCTTCGTTATTTATCTGTTGTAAAAAATACTCGTGACAAAAAACGAGTACAGTCAGCTTGTTTTCCACCAACCTCTGTCTCTGCTTATCGACATGCATTTCGGGTAGATTACCTAGTTTAAGTGTGGTTCGGTAATAAACTAGACCCGGAAAACCGGGGTTGGAAGTTAATTAAGAATACATTGGAACCGGTTCAGCCTTAACCTGCACTGGAAAAACTTCTCAATACAATTTTTTGCAATTCAAAACAGGGTGTTATGTTAGATACGGCTGCAAAAAAAACTGGATTGTTTTGTTCATGAGCTTGTATCAGTTGTCGAGACCCATCGTGCTCCAATGTGGAATCACCAGTAGAAGAGGATTTGACGATATATGCGAGGAGACAACAGATGCATCGCTCTTTGAAAGGAAGAAACCAGCATGGTTGAAATTCCATTAGCTGATTATCAATCATATGAATAACTTTTCCCAAATTAATTATAACTCACGCCACTTTCATTATTTGCAATAGTACTATTTAAAATGAAATACAATATTAATTACAATATTAATACAATTTTAATTCAACAGGACAACAATGTACAATAGAATAGGCCTACCGGAGAAACCATGTTAAAAAAAACGCGCATTGTGTGTTACCTCACAGGTGACGCGGGAACGTGTACGTTTTATGAACAACACAGCTTTTTGATTGTTAGAAAGTGTGGAGAGTTTTTATAGACAGACGCAGAATTAATAATTTTTGTCTCAACTATTTTTAAGATAAACAAAAAACTAGGGAAGCAAGAAAAACGAGATTGACAAGAATTAATGTCATGTAAATAACTCAACACTTATCTCCTACAAAATAATCAATGCTCTGTATCCATTCTAAATTACTTAAAACGAAGACAACAGAAAATCGTCTTACGGGCAGCACCCAATTACCTAATACTTGTATGAAAAGTATTTCTTGAACACACATTGACCAAAATCTCACTAGGCACATTTGACTATCCATTCAACGAAAACAACCATGATAACAATATGATTTATAAAGAAGTGAATATACCAGATGCAAATGAGAAAGACAAACAACCTCACTAACACAATCCAACCTCAAACCAATTTTTCAATATATTTTGAAAGTCTTAAACCCTATTTATGCTTCATTTTTTTTTTTACTAGAACAATTTTAAGCAAAACTCAGGTAACTTCTAAGATAAACAAATTTTGGTTATAAGTCCACAGAAGTGGCAGTAGACACGGTACACAAAATCAACTTTATACCAAAACAAACGATTAGTAGCATAAAACCAAACTAGAAAAACATTTTTGTTTTTATTCTTATTTTTTTATCTGTATCTGTTTACTGATGCTTCATTTAGTTAAACAAGGTAAAAACTCAAAACAAGACTTGATTAAATTTACTCATTCATCAGTACAGATATTTCAGCTGTACATAACAAACCTGAACAAACAACTACACAACAAAATCTAATTAAACCAAATAACATACAGACTTAAACATAAAATGACAAAATTATGCTCTCTCACATGCCTCTGCAAATGAAAAAGGTAATATAACAAGCCTTTACAAAATTAAAGGCAATGTAGCATTTCCATGCAGGCCTTTACATAATAAAAAGGCAATTGTAGTGTGCTGACCATTTAATATCTCCTAAATTGTTTTTTGAATTTCTCATAGTGGTAATCATCAGTGGCTCTTTCACCTTTTGCTTTCTTAACAATTTTTTCTACATTTTCATCTATCACGCTGACTTCTTTCTTAACCTCTACTACTTTTTCTACTTTTCTCTTCTTATCAGTCTCCATGTTGAATCTATTGTGTTGTACAAAATTTACTGCCATATTAGTGGGAACAAAATGTGACGGAGCATCTTTTTTATTGTGCCTTTCCCATAATAATTTCATTTTTGCTTCTTCTGTTGCTTCAATATTTTTGATTTTTGCATCAATGCCTAGATCTACTTCTGGTATACCACTAAGCATTTGATTTGACAACATTTCTTCTGATCTATGAGCAGATGAAACTCGCAAATGTTCAGGAAGGGATAGTAAGGCTGCTTCTTCAGGAGATAAATATTTCAATGAATCATTGTGATCTCCATCTAATTTGTCGTCATTGTGTCCCTCTGTGAAAAACATAATATAAAATAGTACTAGCTCATTCTAGGAAAGTTTAAGCAAAGCAGAATGACTTTTTATTAAATATCCTAAGAAATTTGTATGTAAATAATAAGTTATTGTGCTCTGAAAAAAATTTTGATTTTGTGGGTTACTACATGTGTCATTTCCAGCATTAAAAAACTAGAATAGACACAAAGAAAAATTATCCATATTTATATTTACGAAAAAGGTAATACATGTCGGTTTAAGCATGCTGAAAAACTGACAGTTTAAAAATATTCTGCCTAAATTACTTCAAATTTATTATCAATAAGATTTTTCTGTTAAAAACAAGATATTCTTCCAATACGACAACACAAAAGTAGTTGGAACATCTCTAAAATAATGAAAAAAACTATCACCTTTCCGTTTTGCTAACTGTTCTTCAATGTATTTCATCATCTCTTCATCTTCATCACGTTTATTTGTTTCAGCGGAAAACTGCGTACCAATTCCTGTGTCATATGCGTCATCCACTTGCTTTACTTTGCCGCTTTTTAGTGCTTGCATGTTCACCATTCCACCAGATTTCACTTTAAAAGGATCTTTACAAGTGACTTCGTCTTCTATTGTAGTCTTTTGACCAGTCGCTAGGGCAATGATGCTCACACCGTTTGGTCTTTCTCGAAGCTTCTGTATTTCTCTTGTTTCTTCTAGTTTTGATAAAATGTGTTCTTCATCATCCGATTCTTCTTCTTTGATCCTTTGTCGTAAGTTTCTCTTCTTTTTAGGTTTGAACTTTATTTCGACTGATTCGCCATCCGTGGTACCTTCCATTTTTCTTGATAAATGACAGAAAATGACGGCAGTAACAACGAAACGACACAGCGTTTTTGCCTTTGTAAAAAAAAACAATTAAGGTGGACGACAAGCAATAAGATAATATGTTTACTTTAAAACTTAATGAGTTTTCGTATAAAATGAATACTGCGTTTGTTACAATACAACAAAAATCGTGAACTTTTACCTTATAAATACAAACAATCACTAAAGAATAGGGATCGAACGATACTTTCGATACTTATGAAGTATCGATACTTTACACTCGATACTCGATATTTTAGTATCGATACTTGAACATCAAGGTATCGACAGGATCGCGGTATCGACTAGTCTGTTTTTAAAATATCGAGTACTTTTTGTCACTACTTAAAACAAATTACTTTCCATGGTTAAAATGTATACGGTGGAGATCGGTGACTTAGCAATTGGTCTGCTGGAATGCACCCAGCGATTTTTAGCAAATCGCATCCCCAGATTTGACTTAAAAATCTTGAACGCAGCGCAGCTGAAAGGAATGAATGAATGATTTTTAGTTCGTGAAATCATAGTCTTCTCTATGGTTCATTCAATAAATTTCTTCCTTCATTCCTTTTTTCTTCGCGCCCAATTGTGCTATTTTGTGTTGTGATAAGATTTTTTCATTTCATTATCTTGATAAAAAATGAGCAGCGCTGGTAAAAGTGGTATTAGTACCGTGTGGAAATTCTTTGAGAAAACGGGTAAAAACTCTGCAAAATGCAAATTATGTTTTAAAGCCAGCCGGCCCAGGCGTAGCTTATTTGGTAAAAAACGAATTAAATAAATTTAATAGTCTTTCATTTCAACCTTACTTTCTATAGGTAAAGTACATTACATCTGTAACGGTGTGCCATGCCACCGTTTGTTTTCCTAGGTTTCAGTATGCAAACTTTTTGCTTTTGAAATTCAACATCATTTCATTTTACTATTCGTCTTTCGTAATTTAAAATTTTGACTAATCAATTTTACTCTTTATGGATGTCAGTTCGTAAGAAATTCTCCTATACACAAGATGAAATTAAAATATAATACAATATTATTGGTATAAATTTTACTATGTAATTTTAATAATTCATATATTATGGTGATACAATAATATAACATATTTACTAAATTAAAACTGTATTTTGTACGATCCAAAAGTGTAACAAGAAGCCCGACAAGGGGTATGTATTCGTTTATTTGATAAGAATGTATTAGTTTAAGTAACTTACGAACTGTTTTTTAAATTTATTTTTGTTTGTTACAGTTTTTTATTATTACCCTTATTTCATCAATAAATTATACTCAAGCTGAAGCAGCCTTATTAATTGACCCAAGCACCGAACCCGTAACACATCTTTACCGAATGTGTTTTGGGTACTTATTTATTGGTATTATGATGATATTTAACTTATTGATAAGTTGACTATCTGACTATTAATACGAAGGGTCGGTAAAATGAATAAACGTGTTCGCAGGTATGAGTTTACTTTCGGACTCCTTGATGTTGAAGTGCCACTTACAAATTACAAAAGTCATAGATTACGTTGCCACAGAGTGATAAAGATCATTACACAGATATGCCACACATCCATAGGTTTTTACTTCTATTCTCTAAATAAATGATTATATTATACAATGTTATACTCGTACTTAGTATATAAATTACTGCATTCCACGAAAACAAAATCATGCTGTGATCATGCCTCCAAAAAAGTATCGATACTGAGTAGTATCGATACTTTTAGATTGATACTTTTCGGGTATTGATACCTAGGGTCGATACCGATACCGATATTCAGTATCGTGAACAGAAGCCGATACTTCGAACCCTACTAAAGAATTCTATTATAATATTACTCTTTGGTTCTAGAGTTTGGCCAAAGAGTAGTATAATAGGTATATAGGGAGAAGCTGACTAATAATAGTGATCTAGTAAGCAGCACAGAGCAAGAAAGATATTAATTACTCTTTGAAGTGATATAGGCTGGCACAGACTATTACGTATCTATATTCTGACTAGGAATGCAATGATACGAGTAAAAACACGTATTTACCCGATTCTTTTCTTTCAATACCAAGTACTTTAGCATCGATATTTTAGAACCGATGGTCGGTCACTCATTAAGAGTGTCATAATCTCGCGTATATAATACTGTTTATTATGTATTAAGGTGACGAAAGTCAATCTCATGAAAAGTCCTACAGGCGTGACGCTAACTACATACTAACTATATACTTCGCTTTTTATGCCTGAACTTGCGTCTCTTTCTCCCGCAATTAGAGTATTGCTATTGACTAGCAATAGTATCAAACCTATTCTTCTCGTAAAAATCTATAAAAACGATAACTAAGTAGTATCATCTCATCCCTAAGTCTGACTATTATGTAAATGCAGTAAAATGACATTTTCTAATGTTATTCTGTGGAATAATATTGCCCCCTTTTTCTACTAGAGAAGTGGTAAAATATTATTCGATATTTTCTGCATCATTATAGGTTGAGAGTAGACAAAATTATTAAATGAAAAAGAAAATCATAACACACAGAATAAAAATTATAATTCACTCTCAAAACGTTTAAAGTAATGAAAAGGAAGAAGAAATGTATTTCCATGACTCAAAAGGAAGGTTTATAAGTCAGTTTATGAGGATTATAATGAAGCAAGTAGTCAATTGTGTAAATAATCGGTGACGTCTATATTTTTAACGAGCATGCATGATTAGTGTCAACCCGTGGTGATGAAAGAAATGGAGATTTATTTTTATAGAAATAAATGGTCATTGTTACTACTCTGCATCGACATTTGTTATTGGTATGTCGCACGATCAACATTAAGCGAAGCAATATGACAGTAACTGTTATAAAAACGTAGCTATGATAAAACATTTTTTTATATTTATATTTTGTGAAAATAATGTGAATTATTTTTGATATTTGAAAGAAATAAAATAAATAAATAAGTATTATAGAACTTCATGAACTTTGGCCTTATAAACATATATAGCATGTAAAATTAAAAATATTATGAAAGCATACCCAAATGAAAACTGTCATTTTTTAAGATTATTTTAGATTAGACTACGTGGGCTAGATCCATTTACAAAAATAATACCATCTCATGTCAGGCTCCCGATACTGACGAATTTTATAAGTATTCCTCTATAAATAATAACATTAATTGAGCGATAATTAAAAATAATAAGCAAGTATTGTATTACTCTTATACTGTATTCGTAAATTATAAACTTAATGGAAATTGAATCTATGATTAACCGATACGTCACTATTAACACATATAATGACGAACAGTCGAACTATATCATGCACCGATATATCGGATAACTGTTACATATCAAGAGCATAACATATCGATATCATAGTCGATAAAGAATCTAAAATATATCAATAAATATAGATATATCGGATTTCAAACCTAAATTGACCTATGTACCTTGTATTTCTAGCAACGATTCTCTGTCCCTGTCATTTAATGTTATATCTGGCCTGTGATTATGTAAAAAAATTAAATTCGAATTCACTCAGGTGTCTGAATTCACTTTAAAAAGCGGCATAAATAAAGAATGGAAGAATAGAATAGAATTTCTACACTAAATGACGTGATTTCGGACACATGAGTGAATTCGAATTCGAGTCTGGATATTTCAGAATCGCAAGGCTGGTGTCCGACCGAAACTGTTTTTTACGAATGAATCCGAAATTGAATTTCGGCAACAGTCTCAGTTTCGGCCAAAACTTGCTTACGAGGATCATATTTTGAGAGAAAAATAAAGAAATCGTTATTTATTTATAATCAGTCAATCTCTATTTTTTATCAACTGCAAAGGAAGGGATATATTTTCGCATACATTTACCTTTTATGTATATGTATCTAATGTTGTTTTTTAACCTTATATCTCCAGAACTGCTAAATAGATTTATATAAGTGATTTTTTGTTTTAGCAGTCCAAGTGTTCTTAGATTGATGACGTTTTGAAAACTCAAACATTGCTGACGTATGACGCCAGATTAAGACAGGATTATACTTGATTATACTATAAACTATGTATTTACTAGCTTTTGACTTCGTCCACGTGGTATGGTTACTTAGTTGCGCAATCTATCGGAGGCTAATAATTCTTCTTATCTTTTAATTTTGTTTTTTTTTTCTCAAAATTAGATTAAATGTAATAATATTGTTTGATTTATATTATTTGCTTGTAATAAAAAGCCTGTTCATTAATAGACAACTTTACACTTTGAAAATGGGGAAATATTAAAACAAAATATTCTCGGATTCAAACTAAATGTCGCTATGTTACTTGATTTCTCCATTACAACCCTTCCGGTTTTCTTTCATGTATAAAACTTAATTAATTTTCAAAACTCAATAAACAACTCGTATTCTTTGCTTTCGGCTGTCGTGTAATAATTTGAATACTTATTGTTATATAGCCTAAAGCCTTCCTCGATAAATGGACTATTCAACACAAAAATAATTATTCAATTCGTACCAGTAGTTCCTGAGATTAGCGCGTTCAAACAAACAAACGCCAAACGAAAAGCTGAAACATGAAAAACGTTTTTGGCAGTTGATAGAATATCATAAGAAAAAGAAATAATACAAAAGAGTTCTTATCTACATAAAATTCTGGTGAATTCATCCTCAGGAGCAATGCCACTTATTGACCCTATACATTTTTTGTGCAATATATACCCTTTGCACATTCGTACCGTTACCCCAAATAAAAAGTCCATAAGTTAGAATTGATTCGACATATGCCAAGTATGCTGTGAGAGCCGTACTTCTTGTCGCTACCCTAAATAACTTAATAATGCAAATGAAAAGGGATTTACCTTATTACCAGTGGTCAGAATTAGGTAGAGTTATTCATGTACTTACACTGATTTCATATAGCGAAAGAATAAAGTGGATATGCCTCAAATCCCGAGATTAATTTTAAAGAGCAGAAAAAATCCTGTGATTTTTAAATAAAAAGTTATTTACTTTTACACAATTTAAACTACTACACGCACGACGTTACCAAACTTACATCAATGAAAGAAAAAAATAAAGAAAGAAGAAATAAAGAAATCCCGGGAAGGTCCACATTCATATCAACATTTTGAAGCAACTACATAAATAACTCTACCTAATTCCGACCTCTGCTTATTACAAACATTATCCCAATGTTGTTTCTAATCTATTTTTTTGTCAACAATTATGCCTAGAAATCTGCACTTATGCATTTTTGGTAATTAATATTCAAATTATTGGGAATGATAGTGATCACTACACTACCACTAATATATCATCAGCAAATGAAATGTTTTTATGTGTAGATAAGTTAGGTAAGTAGTTAATATACGTGAAGAACAAAATAGTACCAAGAATACTGCCTTGTGGAACTCCAATATTTTTCTCTTTTAAGTGTGATTAATACATACTTTTGAATCACGTCCTTAGAATCCAATCGAGTTATCTCAACAGATTGTGTTTATATTTTGTACGAAACGTTTTGATACGACTTAATGCCGTTCCTCTAATAGCACTGATAAATATTTTTTATAGTTTTTTTTTTTAAGAAATGAAGTCGAAATTTTTGACATGTCAAAAAAAAATGAAGGAAAGAAAAGAGAATAAGTAATGTACAGCACATATGTAAGGCCGAATACTGGTAAATTTAACTTATTTACAACTAATTCAAACCAGAACAAAAAATATGAACATATAGAGTCTGGCAAGCGAAACGTGTCACAAGAAAAGGGCGGCAATTTCAAAAATTCTTAAGCAGTAAACACTGAATGTAGTACTGCAAAATAATTTTGATACTTTTATTAATTATATTTAATCTTAACATTTAGATATCAATTAAAATTATTTGTTTTGGAACATTTGACTAAAGCGTGACTGTTCTTAATTGTACAGTTAACAGCATATCAGTAGGCCTATTCACTAACTCAACTGACAACCAAGAATCGTCATCACCGTAAAAAATAGACACTTTGATTGTGTCAAAATCACTATTTCGTATTCTCTATCAATGATGAGCAATTTCGAAATGTCAATATCGGCATTCTCCACTGGACTCCATTTTGACACTTGATTTCGTATCGATAAACTGTATTAAAGTAACATTGTTGCAAAGCATATTTGAAGTCGTCGCATAGTACCTCTTAAGCCATTTGTTGTTAAATTAAAGCGAAAAAAAATACGTATCCAATATTTTTCTATTATCTGACTGACGGACTAAATCGAATCTTTTTTTTAACCCATTCGTTATACCTATTGGCTAACAGCACTTATAATATTAAAAATTCATATTTGTCATTAATTAAAAGGGTGTTTTTTGCAACGACTTCTTTGTTTTTTTGTAATGAATATGGGCGACTCTGGCCACATTTTTTTAATAAATGTGATGTTAGCCAATTTTGATTTCTGGCCCTTATATTTATAATGTGTTCATAACACATACATGTCTCCTAAGGGATTTTCATCACAACCTTTTGCTCTGATCCAGAACCACTATCTATCAAATTAAATTAGTCAATATAAACACCAGATTACAATAAAAAAAACATTTATTTTTGTTACAATTAAGTGCCATGGATAAATTACATAATACAGGTGTCACAAAATCATCATGTTAATCACAATAGAAAATTTAAGATAAGATTTTGACTATGAATCAGACTAAAAATACTTTAGTCTGATTCATAGTCAAAATCTGTTTCTAAATATTCTACACCTGATAACAATGACAAGGAATCATCAGAGTCACTCTCTTCACTACTGTCTGCACCAACAGATATAATAAATTTTTCAAGTTCGTTTTCAATAATGCCATCTTTTAATTTGTAATCATTTTCGACATTTAAAACATGATCAGTGTATTTCTTCCAGTCACTAGGGGTAATTAAGTTAAAACACTCTATTATTAAGTTTTCCATTTCCTTTCCTGGTATTCCAATGTTTCTGCTTGCAATTTTTCTTTTTGCTTGACTCCAAACCATCTCTATTGGGTTTAAGTCACAATGATACGGTGGCAGCAATAAAAGTTCATGATTATGTTCTTTTAAAATCTCTTCAGCTTCATATACAGGCAATGTTTTCTTATCATTAACCAAACACATTAACTCTGCCTTTGTCTGATATTCCTCAAAATGTATTCCATTATTTACAAGCCATTTACGGATATCTGCTTTGGTATTAGACATTATAGGCGGTTTATTGATTTGTTTTATATGGTAGCTGGCATTATCCATAACAATTACACTGGGCTTACTTAAATTTGGTATTAATTTTTCTCTGACCCATTTCATAAAGTTCGATGAGTTCATATCATCATGATAATCAGCAGATTTGGATTTACTACTGAACACTAATAATGCACCAGGCACAAAACCTTCCTCAGATCCAGCATGCACAACAATATGCCGTTTTCCAGAGGATATCTTTGTAGTGACACCAGTTGTTGAAGGTCCTTGCCAAGACTTTTTAACTTTATAATTCTGATGTACATAAGTTTCATCAAGGTACACAATTTGCTTTCCTTCGTTTCGTTTTATATTTATTTCTCTCAAATACTTGTGCCTCCATGCAGAAATCTGGTATTTTTCTATAAGCATAGAACGTTCATTTTCATTGCTTTTAAAAGAAAATCCATTCTTAAGCATAATTTTTCGTAAAGTCTCACGGCTACCACTGAATCCTATTGCATCTTTTAATTCATTGTGAAGGCTTCTTAATGTTGGAACAATTTTTTTCACACAGTAAAATTCATTTACTTTATTCCGAATTGCACTTAAATCAAAATTATCTAAAGCAGACACTGTTGGTTGATGAGGTTGTTTTTTCCCAGGAGTGTCCCATTTTCCTTTATTAATTAATGCTTCATTTTTTATCCTTCTTAGTGTCCTTATACTTACATCTATAAAAGATTAAACACTTTGAAACAAAGATATGTTAAATGTATTTAAAAGCAAATAATGATAGACACATACATCAAAATAATTTAAATACCTATTCAACTATGAATGCAATTTATGTTTAATTTAGTTAAGTTTATGTGCATATTTAGCATGTATAACAATTACATGGTTTGATTAGTTTCATGAATTCTGTGAATTTCCTTGTTAAACAAAACATTCTTATGACATCATTGGATGTCAACAATAAAAACCAATACATCATAAAAAACCTATGTAAATATTATAGGAATACTATCAATCTATCTTAAATCAAAACAAGAAAAGAGACCTGTCATTGAAGAAATTTTTTGTAAGTACTGCGTTTCCGAATTCAGCATTTCTTGTTTTTCTAAAGTTTTTATTGCATTTATCTCCTCCATTATTGGTTGAATATCACCATCACAGTTATCTGAAATAGAGCAATATTTTATAAAAAATATCTGTTTAGTTAATTACAGAAAATTAAAACGAAAGTATCAAAATTATAATACAAAACTAACCTAAAAAAGATACAACTTTATCTAATCGTTGTAATTTCTCCATGAAATTTTTATTTAATTCAGTTTTCACTTCAGTAAACTTGTCAATCATGATGGAAAGAAGTTTCCTCGATGAACTTTTTATCGGCTTCGACATAATTTTTAACCAAAAACACAAGTTCAAATTCGCAAAAACAACAAAATTCAATATTCTTGAATTGTCTAACGTAGTGTCAAACTGACAGTTCTATGTTGTTGCCATATGAAAACGGAAAAATAGGTGGTGTCACGTTTCGCTTGCCAAACTCTACTGTATGAATTTCAACGAAATTAATGAAAATCCTTATAAAACTGGTAGTTGGCCGCTGTCTAAGTGATATGTGTTGAAATCCCTTTGCCTAATCAATAAAAACTGAATGAAGTGATAAGAAGTTTTGATAAAAAGTTCAAAGTTTATTATCTTTCCTATTTAATGTTGATAATGCCTATAGATTGGATCAGTGTAGTTTTTGCAAGTTTTGCAAATTGTTTATAAAATGGCAAGCGTTGTGTTATTGCAGTCACCGCCGCCAAAATTGGAAGATTTTCAGAAAACAATATTTAGTACAGGAGCAACGGACTTCTTAGAAAGTCTTCACAAGAAATTTAGTGAAAAGATTGAGAATCTCTATACAGATAGGTTGCGACGCAGTGTTGAGATAAAAGTGAATTGTACATTAAATTTTTGTAATTCTCCCGAACGAAATGACAAATCTTGGAGTGTTGCCCCTTTACCGTCCAGACTTCTGTAAATATAAATTAACTTATTTATATTTTAAGTCTTTCATTTTCTAATAATTTAGATTTTTAGGCAGATTATTCTTTTTTAAGAAATCGTCATCTAGATCTTGGAGATGTTTCTGCTTCAAACACTGCACATTTTGTATCAGCCTTAAATGAAGACGTACAAGGGATCCAGGTTGATTTTGATGATGGCCACTGTCCGACATGGAAGAACCAGTTGTTAGCATATCAAAACATAAATCTGGCTGTCAACGGTAAACTCCCTGGAGCACCAATGAATATAGCGATGTGTCCTATATTAATGCTACGACCTCGTGCTTGGAACATGATTGAACATAATATATTGGTAACTGTTGTGCATCATTAAGATTTTTATGATATGAAAATGATTAGCATACATTCATTTCATGCTTTATGTGCAGTAACTTCATATCTCATCATTCATTTAATTTCTTTTCAATTCATTCTTAATGTATTTGAATCAACATCATCATAATTTGCTATTCACTCATATTATTTCTTACAATTGAAAATTCAATATCAATTTTTTTTTTTTTTTATATATAATAATATGTTTTGCACTTTAATATAAATGTATTGCACTTATCATTGATGTTTTCAAAGACCTTCATATATAGTTGTAGTTATTTTACCTTTTATAATTAATGTATTTACATATTAGTTTTAAAGCACATCTCTTATTTTCAAAAAGTCATTTGTGGGTAGCTTCAACCAAGTTTAGAAACTGTTTTAATACTCACTGTCTTAACATATAATTAAATCATATATATTTTTTAAGATTGATGGCAAAGAAGCAATCGGACCTCTGGTTGATTTCGGTATCTTGATGTATCACAATGCAAGGCAACTTTATGAAGCAGGCAGCGGCCCTTACTTTTATCTCTCTAAGCTGGAAGGAGCTGCAGAAGCAAAGTTGTGGAATGAAATATTCGTCTGGTCTCAACTCCAGTTAGGTCTACCGCAAGGAACAATAAAGGCATGTGTACTGATCGAGAATATAGTCTCAAGTTTTGAGTTAGATGAAATACTATATGCATTGAAGGAACATTCCTTGGGGCTCAACTGTGGTATATGGGACTATTGTGCTTCTATCATTGCAAAATTTGGTAAGTCAATAATATCTTAAGCTGTGAATCTTGGGCTTGCTATCTCATGATTGTTATCTTAATGTTTATGGACTGTTAGAATTATATAGAAAAATCATTTCGCTCTTTTTAGGGCATGCAAAAGAGTTCTTACTACCTGATAGGAACAAATACGTGAACATGGAACGAGACTTTTTAAAGAATTACTTGCGTGTAGTAGTTAGTACATGCCACGCCCGCGGCGCGCCAGCCACCGGTGGGATGGCTGCAGCGATGCTGAAACCTGGCACTGATGGCACAGATGAAGAGTAAGATTACTGTACTTCCTTGTTCCTTATTGTGTGAATTTGTTAATATTTTGAGAAAGTGATTGATATTTTATGTAGGTAAGTTGTTGAAATGAAATGAAATGAAATGAAAATATCTTTATTCAAGTAGGCTATTACAAGCACTTTTGAATCGTCCAAAAAAAAACTTTTTTCCCCTACCACTTGTTCAGGACGTCTTTTAGCTGACAAGAAGAACAAGCGAAAGAAACTTATCAGCTTTTTATCATAAGTAATGACATTTACATAAATCATGTCATTACCAAAATAATATGTATTATCAATTTATCACAATAGTAAATACAACTTTCAAAGTCTGTAGGACATAAGTTGAACATATAATTAGTCTTTATGTTAATATTTGGAACTAGTAATCAACATTTTAAACAAGTGTTTGATATTTTGAGCAAGTTATCTGTCTACCTAGGTCATATTCGTCCCCTACAGACAATATATATATATATATAACCCTCAGTGTAGGACTAGTGAGATTTGGTGAATGCTTAGGCTAATTAATGACTGCAGATGTATCCTCAACCAATGATTTAATATGGCTTCTGAAGCAATTTGAGATGAACATTTGACCCCCAAAGGTTGAGTGCATTAACCACTGTGCAATCAAGCTCCTCCTTTAGGGCAATATATTTTGAGGAATGTTTTGTGCAATTTTTGCATAATTATGCTTATGTATGTATCTTACATATTATGTTCTAATGGTAAATGAATTTTTGTATTTTTATAATAATTTCTTTATAAGAAAACTATTGTGAAGAGTAAATAAAATAAATAAATAAATAATTATTATTATTATAATGAGAATAGGTTTTAAACCGTTAATCATTCTTGTTTAATGTGTTTATGTACCTGTTGAATAGTTTTTTTTAAATATACCCCCTTATCTTCATTTCTATTTCAGATCTAAACAGATTATCAGTAAGATTCTCGACTCTAAAATGAAGGAGATAGAAGTGGGAGTTGACGGATTTATGGTTTACGACACGAGAACCATACCTCATATAAATAGGGTAGGCATTTTTATTTGTCAAAAATATTGATTAGCATAGCTAAGATTAATTCCTAGTTAGCCTAGTAGTTAGCTCTTTGGCAATAGATTTTTAATCAATTGCTGGAGTTTGTATTTATTTTGCTCATATTTTAGGTCTTTCAGTTTAAGTATTGGTAAGTTTAGGTATTACAAAATTTAATGGTCCTTTGCTTCAAATCTAATCGAAATGATTACATACTTACTTTTAACTTCTTTTTTCTAGCTACCATACAATGTTAATAGTTATTCAGTACGTGTGACCTTTGAGTAAGTAATTTGTGAACAGTTGTATAAAAACATAGGAACTTATTTGTTAAATCAAGGCTGATCGTACAATTGCCTCTGGGGATAAAAAAAATATAATCTGTATCGATGCCGGCACTGACCAAGAGTGGAAATTGGAAATTGAAAAATATGGCCGCCGCGGAAATTATTATAATTTAAGAAAAAAAATTAGCGTTGTCTTATAAAGTAAAACAGAATTATACTTGTAAAAAGTCGCGATAAGGTTAGCTATATTTAATAATGGTCATATGTTTATTTAGTCTTATCTTTATTTCTGTTGCTTACAACGCACTATAGTAACGAAGATAAGACCACTATAAAGAGTTTTATATATTATTTTTATGGTCTACATAAATTTGCTACCTACTTTTCTCGAGGTATAGTTATGCCACTGGTTTTACCACGAAAATACCTTTTATTCTCTTTTCGTGTCTGAGATGTCTAAAACATATTACTACTTAGGTACACCTACTGGATACGGACGTCAATGAACGATATTGTCAAATAGAATACACATTAGTATGTTCACTGCTGTTAAAATAGACTTGAAATTATAATAAAATACTAAATTAAAAATTTACATTTTTATTAAGTAATAATGAACTTAAAAAATATTTTTTTAACAAACTTCAAAAATCAAAAGAAGGAGGATATATGTTCGACGGCAAAGTATTTTTTTTTATGTATATGACCGAATACCTAAATTCTTTTATTTTATTTGACAGCTTATTGAACCGAGGTGGTCCTTTTTAAATTTTATCGAAATCGGTTCAGTAGTTTTCTTTGATAACAAAACAAAATACGCTTTTCATCAGATATCACCTAAATATTTAGATAATATGTTTATTTCAGCTAAAAACAAACGATTGCGTATTTTGAATTCATTGAAAATTCGAAAGGTGGATTTTCTATGTTGTATATATATTTTTTATGAAAGTATACATGGTATGTTCATCGATTCCTTCGTGAATTGTGAACCAATTTCTATCAAACTAGCTGATTCCCTGCGACTTCATCTGCAAAAATTATACCCTATGTCCCTGTCCCCTGCGTATTATGTAGCTCCCGTAGATGAAGAGTTTCGGAGCCTATCCAATGCAAACAAATAAGTGCAAAAAATATGTCAAGCAAATAAACAAAATCTCGTTTTCTAAGACTCACTACATATGTTGGATATTCTTATTTATATAGATACGAGTATTTAATATTTTTAACATTACCTAATATTATTTATAAAATATATATAATTGAAAAGCATTAAATAAAATCCTTTTTTCATGATAGGCACCAGCTTCAATAGCATTTTCTTGAATAATTTGCTTTTGAGATAAGTATTATTTTTTTATTGTTTGAAATCGGTTCTATTTATTGAAAAAAGTTATTATTATTCTCTTGCCGATACTAAACAACTGGAAAAAAAATAGTTGGATTAATCTTTTTTTTTTGTTCTGACAGCTATGGAAAAATTACGGAGACACACCCAACCAGATATTCAAAAAGTTCGAAGTGGATCTGGTTCCCGAGGACCTGTTGGTGATACCGCGCGGTGGTGTGACGTCACACGGCCTGAGGCACAACGTGGCGGTGTCCGTGCTGTTCGTGTACCACTGGCTCGCGGGCACTGGACACTTCTTCTACAACGGCAACGTGGAGGACTCCGCCACCGCCGAGATATCCAGGTGCCAGGTGTGGCAGTGGATACGATTCGCGGTGAGACATTGTTTATTAATAAGCACAAGGGAGGCGTCGATGATGGACTAACCGAGGTTAAGCAACTTTCGCGCAAACAAGAACCGGCCACACGATGGGTGTCCGGAAATTTATCATCTCCAACGCCGTGCTACGGAAGGGGCCGTCAACTTATCTGTCCCTGCTGCATTTGCAGTTGTGAACTCTTAATGCTCGAGATTTATTATTTGTGTGTGTGTACTTTTGTGTGTCCATCGGTCGATCGGCCTCTGCGAAAGTAGCTTAACCTTGGTGAGTTTCTACACGACGAGTGATATTCGTTTAGATCTATCACCAACAGATATATTTCAACCATATATTGCGGGTGAGTGCAGAGGGTGGAAATTCGCCATGTTAAATTTGGCGTCATAAATAGCTTTCTGTTTCGACGCTATCATTCTTTGTGAAACTATTAGTTAACAGTAATAAAAAACGCAATTAGCTCATATAAGCTAATTGCGTTTTTTATTACTACCATAAAAATTTTCTGTAATAACCGCCAGGTACCACTCGAGGACGATCCAAAAGAGCGGGTTACAGTGAAGTTGATCGACAAGACCGCCTCAAACTTCGCTGCGCACGCGCACAAGAACTTTTGCCGCTCAAACGCTGAACGCAAGCGTCTCACCGCGGCACGATACATGTGCATGGAACTGTTCCTCGCTAGGAACCCGCCGGAGTTTATAACGTCATATCTCAACGACAATCACAAGTTCCGAACGCTTCACAATAAGGCCTTGTTGAGTAATTTGTAGTCTTTTACTTAATTTTCGTCATCGATGTTAAAAGCAATACAGCGATTGAAAATATCATATATGTATATTTTGTAAGCCAAGATTTACTGTGTATTTTATAGTTCACACGATATATTTTATGTACTGTTGGCAAATAAATAAATTGTTTCAAAGTGTGAGTTTCATTTATTTTACCAGCACGAAAGTAAACCCAAAATACAATTCATCATTATTTTCATATTGGACTCTGATATTTTTTTATATTTCTCATCACTAAAAATACGTTTAAACTCTATTGCAGCAGAATAAAATTTAAAATTCATTACAAGCATCTCATTTAATATGAAGAGGTTATGTTTTAGTTTGGTTCAGTTCAGTTCAGGATCACCACAATTACCATTTCAGTCACAATTGTTCTGGAATTCCTTTGGAATTGCCGCTTCAATAAGCGTCAAGCTAACAGGCACATCGACATTCATAAATTGTATTGAAGATATATACATTTTCGAAAATAGTCAACAGCATCTCAACTACTTGCATTCTAGCATTGTATTATGAACCTGAAGTCCAATATTATCTATTGACTTTCTATGATTACGCTAACAGCGGTATTGCCTATTGGTTAGCGTAAAATCGTTGGTCTAGTCCAGCTTGGTACTTGATACAATTGTTCTCAATTAATGTAAAATTTTTACATTAATTGAGGTAGCTCGGTGGTGTAGTGGATAAGCACCGCGGCCCGCGATCGTTGTCGTTAAGCAACTTTCGCAAGGGTCGGTCACGGGATGGGTGACCAAAAAATTATTATCTCGAGCTACTCCGTGCTTCGGAAGGCACGCTAAGCTGCTCCCGGCTGCATTTGCAGTCGTTAATACCCTCCAATCCGCACTGGGCCAGCGTGGAGGGTCATGGCCCATCCTCCTTAACCATCCATAAGGAAGGCCTGAGTCCCTGCAGTGGGGACGTAAAAGGGCTGGTGATGTGATGAATGTTAAGATTTTTATAATAATACAAGCTCTTCGCCGGCGACTTGAAAGTGCTTTTACCCCCAGGGAGCTACTGGGAGTGGGATAAAAAGCAACAACAGAATAAATAACTGAAACTAAATAAACATTCGCCTTGTTTGTAGGTTTGTATGTATTGGTCCTCTTGTATAAATTTCGTACACTTTTTCATACGTACATTAAATTATTAAAAACAATTGGTTTGATAAAATAAAACTAAGTGTAGTGATTTTATAATATTTATAATTATCTCAAAAATATTAATTATGCAAAATTGTAAAGAAATAATCATTGACAAATAACATTAGTGAACGCAGCATAAAGCCAAGTGTCGTATTTTACAATTCCTTTGCTTAACTTTATATTAATGATTATATATTATAGATAACCATTTACCCTTTGATTCCCTTATTAGTTTTTTCTTTAGCAAACAGCATGCTTAATCAGTAAAAAACATTAAACAAGTTCCATAATCCTTTTACACAGTTACAATATTATATTAATGTCTTTGTGTCGCATTAAAAAAATTGGGAATGTGAATAAATAATTACGACCTTATTCTTCTACGCAAGGCGTTGTCATTAAAAATATATAACAACAGCTTTGAGACATTGCGATCCAAAAGTAACACAATATTTTAATAAAAATAATCGAGGTTTAAGAAAAGTGATTATATCGAAAAACAATTTGAGCATTCATGTGTATATATTGATCAAAATTTCATCTTGTTAAGATCATTTATCTTCTTCTTTTTAATTAATGGCGTTGCCCTTATGGTTTTCGCCAGAATTCAGTGTTTCGCTCAGCTTGTTTTATGTTTAAGTATTATATAAAGTGTGCTTTTTGTATGTTGATAGTGACAGCCCTAGTTAAATTTTGAATTTTGTTGAAGTTCAATTTTATTCACTTGAAAGGGACTTACACAACTTAAGTATTACCGATGTTAGAAATTTTATATGACAGACAAATCAAAGACAAACAATGAACGCATCTGCTATCTTAAAATTGTCATTATGTGACAAGTAAGGCTAGGAACACACATGCGTATTACACTTTTTTGCTTAGATATTTTGCAATAGAAAAGAAACAATGTATCTTATATTATTATACCTAATAACCAGATATGCACAAAATATAATCCTTATTAACTAATGTACATTTAATACATAAAAATTAATCCAAAACTCAAGATTACATCACATATATAATAGTTTTTAATTATTTATGAATAATTTCATAAACAATTAAAAACTATCAAACCATATCAAACCGAATAGGAAGAGCTGATCATACATTAGTTTATTTAAAAATCATCATTAATAAGGATTAAATTTTGTCTTTTGTTATCTCATAGTATTTCATCCTATCTAAAAAGTATAATTAAGCAACAATGCAATAGTAGTGCAAATAATAACACAAACAACATATTCATATGTACGTATTACTTGCGATGTATTCTTTAATAGGAAATAACATAGTTGAATAGTCGTCAATAAGTGTAATGAATATGACTTAAGTTGAATCAAAATGGCGACACCGCGGTAGCACATTCTAGGATCGAGGTGCGGGGGTGAGACGAAGCGGGTAATAGCCACGCGGTAGTCTTTTTACTTGCGCGGGAAGTCGCCATTACAGACAAGAGTGTATAAATATCTCTTTGTATAAAAAAAATAACATACACCAATAGATCTTAACATAAACATTATTGATTGTTGAATGATTTTGGACGCATTCAGGATATGCGATACTTATAAATTTTCACATTTCTGGTACAGTTCTATTTAATGTTTTGTAGTAAGTTAATGTGTCCTAGTGTTTACAATGTAGGATATCATGCAGCCATTTTTGATAGCAATCTGATTGTGAAATTGATCTGAACTTCATTATTGTTATAAAATATACATACATCTATACAGGAATAAGTCTTGATTTTCAGTTTTTAACTTGAATATTAAAGCAGCTTATAATTTCTTTTAGGGTCCTTCTTTCAATTTTCAAATATACATGTAATTTAAATTGTAAATGTAATTAAATAGTGCCACTTTTACAACAAAGCTAAATGTAAGAAACTCAGCCTTTTTATCAAAAGCGTGTCGCATACATTACATTTGAAAATTGAATAAGTGGACCGTAGAAGCTGTATGTTTACGGAAACGTTATTAAACTAAAGTTGGGCGAGATATGTATTAATTTTTTTTAGGCGAGAGTTTTTCTATAAAGTAACTTTGTTTGCTCTTAATATTTATGAGGAAGTATTTTTTGAACGGATAAGAAACAAATACTTGTTAAATGTTCGGTAATCAAAATATACCAAACACAATTGTATTCGTTTCTTTACACGTAACATCATAATAAATACTGAAATTCGTAGAGCAAAAATCAATTGATATGAATATTCAAGATTCGTATATTAAAAGGAACGCGGTGAAAATTTTACGATAACCTATTTATTAATTTACGAAAATCAATTCAATATTTTTAAATCATAAAAAAGAAATCGGAACGCGTACCATAGACAAATTTTACTGAATAGTGCTGCGAATAGCGAATGACATTCAGTTTGAAAATGTTTTTTTTTTTTAAATACTTCCTCATTCACAAGTTTTTTTTAATCATAGAATAAATATTAGTTTAATATTTTGATCGCAAACAAATCTTTTTTCAATGTAACGATTGCTTCAAACTCGCGACGTAGCTCGAGATGTGACGTACACGTATATATGTGACGTTCGCTACGACAGTATACATCGCGAGTTCTGTTCGCCGCCGACGCGTTGTCGTGCGAACGCGCGCGCCAGTGCGGTGTCGCGCGCGTGACGGTCCGCGGTCTGGTCCTGGAGCGAGAGCGCTAACGCGTGCGCCAACGCTTCGTCCTCCGTCTGAACGATACGCGCGGTTATATATTTAAAAAGAGTTGATACACAACGACCCGGCAGTCCGGTCCCGGCAAGAAGACATTATATCGAGCTACGGTTTCGGAAGGCAAGTTAAACCGTCGTTCACGGCTGCATTTGCAGTCGTTAATACCCTCCATTCTGCATTGGGCCAGCGTGGAGGGTTCACCATCATAAGGTATAAGGTATGTGATGACACAACAAGCGTGGACTTGTGCGATTCGCATGAATTAACGTTGAATCGTTGATATAACCACATCTGTCAAGATCTGTCCAGAGCCAGTGTCCGCGAACCTCCGTTGCCTTATAATTTATCGATGATTTCCTTTAGAGTCTGTGTTAGCATGAGATCTAATATCTTAAATAGGTGGCCTTAAACAACGAAGGTCCCACAAAGATTAGAGACAACATGGAAATGATGACAATGAGACTATTGTTTATAGCCGGGAATCGAACCCGGGATATCAGATATGTTTGAAGCACACGTGAGAGCTACTTAAGGCGACAATCTCTTAGCAGTTTATCGTTATAACAAATAAATAATATTCCAAACAAGAGAAATAGCTAAAAAGTAGCTCGGTGGCGTAGCGAATAAGCGCCGTGGTCAGCGATCGTTGTCGTTAAGCAACTTTCGCAAAGGTCGGTCATGGGATGGGCGACCAAAAAATTTTTATCTCGAGCTACTCCGTACTTAAGAAGGCACGTTAAGCTGTTGGTCCCGGCTGCATTTGCAGTCGTTAATACCCTCCAATCCGCATTGGGTCAGCGTGGAGGGTCATGGCCAATACTCCTTAATCATCCATAAGGAAGACCTGAGCTCCTGCAGTGGAGACGAAAAAGGGCTGATGATGATTTTAAATAAGGAAATCATAGGTCCCCTTTCAATGGATATCTCAGTGAGTACTGCACAGTTCTTAATATGGTATAAATCGATTCATATGGCATGTTGAAACTTTATAATCTTTAAACAAATAGAATAAATAACCTAATATGTACCCTGTACTACATAGTACCAAAATAAATGAATTAATTTATAAATTGCTCACCATATTTCCTTGCACTTCACTGAAGGTAGTCACGGCTACTGGAGGAGGAGTGATCTTGTTTTCAGACGCCTTCATACGTGCCATAGCCGCGTTACTAAAAACAAAACATTATTATTAAGCCATCATCATCAGTCTATTAATGTGCCCACAGCTGGGTCACGGGCCCTATAGATGGAAAAGGGAGAATGGCCGCGGGCCCAGAGCGGATTGGTTGTTGAGTGAGACCTTCCGAAACACGTCGGAGCTCGAGACAGTAAATTTTTGTTCGGTAAAACGATTTTCGCCATATTCATGACGTCATTCAACACAAGAAACATGGAATATATTTAATAGCTTTGATATTTCATGGGTGATTGACATCATCACCCATAAAAGTCCTATCTACTACTGAAACTACTGTATCGCGCCATCGACTACTACCTATTATATATAAGTAATAATATGGTAAATACTGACGCAGCCTGCCGTCTCTTGGCAGCCAGTTTCCCCTCGCAGGCGTGGTCGGTGGCGTGACGATGACGCAGGCAGAAATTGAGAGTACACTCGCTGCACACGAGCGGCACCATTTCTTTCGTCTTGCAGCCTTTGTAAGAACACCGGTTCGTGAACACCTGACGGAAAAAAGAGCCAGTGTTACTTGTCTTAGCGTCTTTAACTTAAAATTGATTAAGTTGTATAAATTCATTGCTTAATTTTGCTCTATCAAGCGGTCCCAATGGGGAGGCAAAGTAGAATGCCTTAAAATTTACAATGGAATCTATTTAACTGATTTTGTGGAGCAGATTCTACTACCTTAAAATTTGATGGATTCTGTCCCACTAGGATTGGAATTTTAAGGATTCTGTTCCTAAACCAAATTGCTGTAGGCTCCATCTTATGCAACTCCTAGCTTTTATAAAAAAGGTTATTTTAGGATTTTACTTCACGACTTGCAATCTCCAACTATTGTTCAATGCACATATAGACAGGACAGTGTCTAAACTAGGATTCATTTTGTATTGTGCTAAATTTTCACAAATATAAAATATTTTAAAAAATTATACAGTGCATGTTGAGTATCTTTGAGAACGCAAATCGTATCTGGAATGCATGCTATAATATTTATGTCTCACTCTTTGAAAACATATAAAAGAAGTTTGTCCAACATGATATTAGGAATCTCATGTATTTACTGAAAATTGAATCCAACTTAATAGACTGTCCTGAACTATTATGGTGCTTTCATAGGAAGTTCCTACAAAATGTTTGAGAAACAACTTGCTATATGTCTTTTCCTAGTACATTCAAATTACAGGCAAAACAAGGTTTTCTACTGCTAGTGATAATTTTAATTTTAATACCTATTAAAATACTAGTCTTTTTTCGGCAAGAAACTAAATTAAGCAATGAATTCTTCAGTTGGAAATTTTTGTTGTGTACAAATAGGCAAAGCTTTAGTGGTTATATGTGTAAACTATGTTTCATATTTTTGAGGAAAATAAATAGTTGAATTATATTTTACAATTACATGCCATTGTGCCTTTGTTATTTGTGTAAGTGACTTAAAATAATATGCATCTTCAATGTTTATATTAAAATGATTATAAACGTAAATTGTTTGTATAATTAATGTTGCCTACAAATTGGACCAACAAACTTTGTTGGTCCTTATCATTACATCGTTAAGCACTAACAAAATCTGTTTGGCAGAATTAATTGGCGGTTCCTTGGTTCAGTTTATAGGCACCAAAACTGGAATATCCTGTAATATGTACGCTTTTCAATTTATAAATCCACTTCCTCTTGAATCAATTTGTATATTAATGAAAACCACATCATGCAGTTTAAAAGACCTTTGTTCATTCAAACATTGGGAAGCAACTTTTATAGACTAAGAATAGATTATAGCCGCGGGCAGATAGCTAGTATTATAATTATAATAACCTTTTTCCTCCGCTGTATGGCGGGATCGGAGGTGCACTGATTGTCGATGTGTGCACTGACGGCTATGTCCGGCGGCTCGTCGCGCGGCCCCGGCACCGGCACGCCGCACAGAGGGCACACGGGCACTTGCACGTCTCGCGTTTGTGGGGCGGGACATTCGTGTTCCACGTATGCAAAGTGCTCAGAACTGGAATAAATAATATCCAATTCAATATTAGACTATATATTACATGTTTTACGGAAATCAGAAATAACCAAGGTGCCACAACAATGAGACATGACACAAATAAAAAAAAAGGTTATTTGTTACATTAACCCCACCCGGTCTCTGACCTGGGACCACAAAGACAGCATGCTGTATTATCATAATATTACGAAAGAAAGATACAAAACATTGTGTGCATTTGGTCTGTGAATAGAGAGTAACTTTGAAAATTCTTTTTCTGTTTTTTTTCAGTGTGGGTGACCAAAAATGTATTATCAAACCATTTCTGATTATTTTAGAAAGCACATTAGATTGTTAGGTAGATTGTAAAAAAAATATTAAACACATATTTTTTCATTTTTTTTGTAATCATAAAATTATGGCATTACATGGAGTTGAAATTTCACATTACATCATGTTATGGTATGATTTCTACTAAACTGTGACGTAGCAAGCCTCCGCTCCTCAACTTTGATGCCTGTTATCTAAGCTATTTCTTGTTAAATTGAAGCAAAAAAAATATCTAATATTTTTCTATTATCTGACTAAATAGAATTGCATTTTTTTTACCCAGTCATCATCCCTATTCTGATTGTGTCAATATAGAAAAGAATCTATTCTATTGTCTTAGGTCTGGGAGTAGTGGTTGTTCAGCTGTTCCACAATATGAGTGTTAAAAGTGTAAAGGTGTTTTGGGATCTGAACAATATATGTGATATTAACAAAAAAATAATATTTTCTTATTAGAACAAATTAAAAAGCATTAAATACAAGACTTTTGAATACTCCAGTTTTTTTCCTAACACCAGTCAGCACTTATAAATTAGTTATAAAAAAGAACTAATACTGAAAACTCTACAATATTTAATAATGAGTGATAACAAACAAAATTCAATACTTAGTGTACATAGATATATAAGTAAAATAATTATCTATCAATAAGGTTAGCACACCTTTTTTAGTATTGTTAACACCATATTATAGTCAGCTTTTTTACAAGCTTCCTTAACTAAGAATAGCCAGAGCAACAACAGAGACGAGAAGTGTATGATGTAAACATCTCATTAAATTAAACAATTGCAGTTGTAATGATGACAACACTTTTTAGTTTTTATTTATAAAGCAAATTTCAGTATAATTTTTAGTTAGAAAACCCACCCAGAAATAAATTAATTACTATTTTAAGCTCCATCAATACAAATAAATTATGGGTAATACATACCAAAAAACTTCTTTACATGCTCCACATTTCATAGGCAGAAAATCTGAAACAATATCATGATAAACACTAATTATACACACACGCACACTAATAAAATAATGGGATCATAATGAAACAATATTTTACACTAATAAGAAAGGCAAACAGAAATATTAAATTGGAGGTCGTTATTTGTCACACTTCTAAGAATGAATATTATACCATACGGTGATTTAAATCAGAATTAACTTACCTAGTTTATTGCAGGGTTTGTAAGAACAATTTTTTCCAATGTGGGGAAATTCCATTGTTATTTTTAACACACAACTATCTCAGAAAATGTTATTTTAATTCAGACGGAAACTTCGTCGGATAACGTTTATATATCGTCATTCACTAAATTATTGCAAAATGAATTCGTCATTCATTTACGATTAGAGCGCAAAAAAACTTCTTTTGACGTTGACGTATATTAAACCATAAACTTTTAATCAAAAGTAATAGAATCTAGCCCATAAAGCCATATCTCAAAATCTTTGATTCAAACTAACTTCGGATCATAGACACTAATCATACTATACTATATAAATATAATACTTTGACTAACATGTATTATTGATAATATTATAACACTAAAGTTTGTAGTTTTGGAAATTTATTATTTCTTTATACGCAAAAACTATTGAACGGATTTTGATCAAATTTGGTGTACATGCAATTCTTAGTCTGGATTAACATATGAGCTTCTTTTTATCCCACTAAAAGATTCTTAGGGATTAGAAGTAACTCCAAAGGCACTTATTTTTGTGAATGCTGATTGAACGGTAAGAGATATAAGAATGCCTTTTAAAGTTGGAGAATTTTAAATTACCTATAAAAAAAAAGTTAGCGATGGCTATGTACTGAGGTTTTACCACAAAAGTAAACGTCTGTCCGTTTTTAAACGATTATTTGAGTAGGTGATATTAAATGCTTATCAAAATAAATACAATACATATACTCAAAAAATTTTAATGTTCATAAAAATTGTCTTTTACACCAAATAAATTGGATGAATAGTATAGTTTTTTCTACAATGAAATAGTTCCCGAAATCAAACTAGATGTCGCTACGGTACTTTCTTGATTTCTCCATGGCAACCCTTCCGGTTTGCTTTCATGTATTAAAGTAAATTAGTTTTCAAAACTCAATAAACTATTTGTACTTTTTCGTATTTGTATTGATATCTAAGTTTCGAACTTTGTAAATTTCTGTTTTTTAATATATTAGTTAAAAGGAACGGAAATCACTATCTTTGGTCTATTTGTTTCCTGTAAAAATCAACTTTTGCTAGAGCTGCCAACTAGTGGAGGAGCTTTTTTGGTGCTTTCTTTTTATTTTTAAATACTTCCTCATTGAACGCAATGCAATTAACATGAGCGTATTTTGATTAAATTGAATATTAATGAAATCGAAGTCAATTTCGTCACGCGGTAGGCCTACTGAAAACTATAGAAAACAGACAAGGGAGAATGTATGAACTTCATACAGCAAAACGACTTCCTTTAGTCTGGGTTGGAAGCAAATAGCAAAAACTTTGTAAGGAACTAAATAACCATCATTACTCGCATTTTATCAAAAAATCGGTAAAATAACATGTGGTGGTACAAAGAATGGTTAATACCAAAAAGTAGCTTTGACCAAAAAGCGACTATGGTCGATTTCCATGTAAAATTTTGTTGAATAAAGCCTTGAATAAAGCCTATTAATTTTCCCAGTTTATTAATAATCTATAAAGGTTTATTCTACCACATACTTTATTATATTACATATTAACGCTGTTTTACAAATATAAAAACCTCTTGCGTAGAAATATTAGCGCCCATACATTCTTAATTCATTTTACTTGTGCAATATTATTGAAGTCAGACATGGTAAAATATTAAAAAAAAATATCAATGACCTTTTATGTCCTCGTTTGACATTGTCCGTCTTATCACCTGTTGTCATGTCAAGTCAAATTTTATATGTCATTTTCGTTCTATCGACGATAGATTTAGGATAAGTTAGAGAAAACGACGGATTTAACTTATTATTCACATTCCACAATTCGAGAGTGATCCTTCAGAAGGATCACTAATTAAATCTGGGATTTATAAAAAAAATATTATACAAAATGAGTAAAATCGTGCCGTCTGCTGCGAAACTGTTAGCAGCAAATTCTCTTACGGTCAGTATTTTCAACATTTTCCATTGTAATGTACGTAAAAATTGAAATCCATTAAATATTACAGATACCGACGTCAATAAGTATTCTTTCAGACCAGTTTTTAGTTTTTAATTAATTCATATTTCTTATTATCTACAGAAATCCGTCGGTCCAGCAGCATCGACGATCAAAAACTATAGCACGAAACAAGAAGCTACGTTTCAGATTAAGGTACTTTATTATTTCCACATAGATAAATAAAACTCCTTTTTGTACAAGTATTTAGTTATAATAGCATTTGCCCTGTAAAAATCTGGTTTTGGTTAAATTTATTATGTAACCTAACCTTCAAATGTCAAACCAAATTGTTTACTTACGCCCAGTCGCACTTTAAGCGGGATAAGTTGACAATAAGAACTACATAATAGATAGTTTATATAGATTAATGTTATCATATGAAACTAGACATTGTCTTAATCACATAAGAACCAGGAAGAGCAAAACAATTTTTCTTTTCTAAAAAAGTTTTATACTATCTTTTATTCAAAGCTCATAAACAAGCATATTTTTTTTACTTTTACAATATGAGTAAATAAAGTAATAATTAGTAAATAAACTCGAGATGTTAAAGCTGTTGGAATTATCAAACATCCCACTGGTATAAAACCACTAAACAACAAGCATTATTTGTTATTGACGTAATTTTGCAATCGCAATCACTCCCCGGATGAGATTTGAATCTAAAATGTTATGAAATAGTGGCATTTTGAATTGATTACATGGTTATACTGAGGTTTGAAGGGGAACAGGGTTGCCAACTTTTAGTAGAAAAAAAATTTCTAAAAAAGAGTATCATTTATTACAATACTAAGAATGCATATGTGCTTGGCACCATTGCAATAAATATTGTGTAATAGAGTCCTCTATTTGCATTATGATGTAATAAATGTAATTTTCTTACATTTGCGAATGTTAATATGAATATCTACTGTTGAAATTCACGAATGCTAATGCTAATGCGAATATTCAGTTTTTTTATTAGGCCCCAATTATTTATTGTTTGTGAAATTTTTTATAATAATTCTTGTTAATTAAAAGGAACATTACTAATGCAAATCTATTTTTACATGAACATTCATTTGAGCTTAAAGTCATCATTGAACCTTAATGAATGTTTGTGCAACTGGGTATTATTTAAAGATTTAATAATCTAAAATTATAAACTTATCTTAAGACTGATAAAAGGTTAGAAGAATAATTTCTTTCTTTAGATTGCACTGAGAGCAATTAAATCAACTTACTTTCCTTACATTTCATGGTTATTATTTTAGGTACTACAAAACATACGACTTTAAAATGTGTATCATCAAGGTTAATTTATTTATAACCTTTTAAAGGTCTTTGTGTCAAACACAATCAAAATTGTTTTTATTAATCCTACCAAGTATGCTGTAAAGTTATTCTCTTGTTGGAAAGCAAATTCGATCTCTAATTATGTAAAGCAGTATAAGAATATTCAAAAATAAGTTAATCTATTTTAGAGAATAATGTAATTTTGATAGAGAACATAGTTTTAGTAAATATGCTATTTCTAAATACATATGTCTATATTTTTAGCCCTTCAAACTCCACAAATTGGATTCAGGGCCAGCCACAACAGCAACACTCACATCAGAAGATGCTCTTAAATTGTATGAACGTTTGGCCATATTGCGTAGAATTGAAACTGCATCGGGCAATCTGTACAAAGAGAAAATCATACGTGGCTTCTGCCACTTATACTCAGGTTGGTAGTGCCTTAGTACTAAAATACGTTAATATCTAAAGTCTAGCATCCTTTGCAACAGATATAAAGAGCTTAAATAGGCTATGTTTACGCTGCCACGGAAAGGAATAGAAGTATTTAGTTTGTATGTCATACAATTAATATGAAGTTATACTATGTACGATTTCATTGCAAAAAGTTGTTTCCATTTCATGCCAACTCATTGGGATCTCATTATTATGGAAACAAGGCTGTTGTAATCGTTAAGTTTCATTTCAAACAATTGATCCTCTTGATGATATATCAGGTCAGGAGGCTGTGGCGGTAGGCATGCGTGCGGCGATGCGTGACGTGGACTCGGTCATCACAGCTTATCGTTGTCACGGTTGGACGTACTTGATGGGCGTGAGCGTACTCGGGGTACTGTCCGAACTAACCGGCAGAAGGACCGGCTGCTCTAGAGGCAAAGGAGGCTCTATGCATTTGTACAGTAAAAACTTCTACGGAGGCAATGGTATTGTCGGTGCTCAGGTAATTTAACCCAAAGAATAAAATAAACGAGTTATCTATCTTTCATTTTTTAATTTGTTCACTTTATGATCACTACAACAGTATGTGATGTCTAAATTAGCTGCTCTGAAGTTAGTTATTTCATCCCACAACATAATTGCGTACATACATATTTGCTAACTCTTATCTAAACAGCGTTGTTCGATGCTTTTTGCGACTGCAGTAAACTTATTGAGCACAAACCTACATCAAAATAATGTAACCAAAACAGTTGCAATCTCCATGTACTTCACAGTAAAAAACATGTGATTATAGTATGCCTATGTACCCGCATATTATTTTGTAAACTTGCCTTGCCATGATTGTTGGGTTTACTATTAGATAATTAGTACATATTTCGCTTATCGAACAACAATACAATTGCAAAAACGTTAAGAATTGTTTTCATATATCACCAATTGCTAACAGCGGGTTGTTATAAGGTACACCCAATATGCAAACAAATACTTTGACTTTGACTGACTGTCCTTTCAAACTACTGTACAGTTTTTGTGAATGTGAATTTAATATTTTCCAGTAGTTAGTGCAGCATATATTTTTTCTTTAATTGAACCTAGTGCTTAACAGGGTATTTGATATTATAGAAAATAAGTTGCATGCGGTCATTCTGTTAGATAATAATCTAATAAAGTTTATTTCTTGGAATCTGCAGACAAAATATGTTTAGTTTTAGTAAAAAAATGCAACATTTTTAGGAATTCAATGAACGACGGAAGCGCCTTGTAATTGTTTGTCGTCGTAACAAATAACAGGTTCTGATAAACGCAGTGTGACGTCACACGTAAACAGGAAGCTACCATGTCAAAAGAGTGTTATCAGAGATACGCAAAATTTTTATTTATACTTATACTTTGTAGCTCATTTTTATAAACAAAACCAGTACAAATAAAAAACGTAAAATTTTACCTTAATTTCTCTTCTGTAATACTATTTGTTAACTTCGCAAATAATTAGTTGATAAATAGGTTATGTCGCCTTGACCTATTTACAGGCGTGTGACGTCACAAATACCACGTGATCAGCGTTGTTATATAGTGCTGCGTTTTTGCGCGATTTTGGTTATTTAAACTTTGATAATTATTTTTATTAAAAAAAGAACTAAATAGATTACCATGAAACATATTGACAGCGTGTTTATAATGCATCAAACAACGATTTAAAATAGTTTTCAGAAAAGTGTCAAATACATTATTCCAGGTGCCACTAGGCGCGGGGGTAGCGTTCGCGCACAAGTATAGACAAGATGGCGGCGTTTGCTTCGCATTGTACGGAGACGGCGCCGCCAATCAGGGGCAGCTGTTCGAGGCTTACAACATGGCCGCGCTGTGGGACCTGCCCTGCGTGTTCGTTTGCGAAAATAATGGATATGGTATGAGACTGGCGCTCGTTAATTTCGTATGGTTATAAAGCATTGAAATATAAATCAAATTTAATATTTCCACTATCATCGTCATCATCAGCTCTTTTACGTCCCCACTGCAGGGGTTCAGGCCTCCTTTATACTCTCCATAAAGGAGGCCTGAACCCTTGGATGATGGGTGATGGATAAGGAGGATGGGACATAACCCTCCATGCTAGTCTAATGCGGATTGAAGGGTTTTAACGACTTCAACGTCTTAACGAAGCATGGAATAGTTAGAGATAATATTTTTTTTTGGTCACCCGTCTCGTGACCGGCTTTTGTAAAAGTTGCTTTGCAACAACTATTACTGGTCACGGAACAAGGAGGCTGGAGAAACAGGCGGGTGTCGTCTTCCAGTCTCCTCGTGACCACGGCTGTTGCAGCGTAGCCACGAGTTATATAGTTAATTTTAAAATAAGGCACGAACAATACCCGGTTACATATAATTATTTAAAGTAGTATGTTAGTAACGGTGACTTTTGATTGGCTTTTTAATTTTAATAAATCAGCCGTACTAGTGTGTGTGTGTGGGTATGCATAGGTATGGGCACTAGCGTGGACCGCGCGTCCGCCAGCACCGAGTACTACTCGCGCGGCGACTACGTGCCGGGCATATGGGTGGACGGCATGGACGTGCTCGCCACCAGGGAGGCGACCAAGTACGCGATCGACTATTGCACCAGCGGGAAAGGTACGCTCGCGTAACGTATATAACGGCGGGTAGTCAGAAGGGCCTATTAAGAAGCCCAAATAGATCGTCCATATTGGAGGACTATCTTTCAAATAACACTGCAGGCGTGTATACCAACGTGGATTTGAGCCATTTTATCACTTTACATACGAAAATATAACGAGATGAGCGTGATGTCGTCAGATGTCTTTACTCCTCGGCGATCGGAAACAGAATTTTTTGTTAAAATGGCGGCAATTTGCTTTTGAACGAACTGTCAAAGTCAGTGTCACCATTCTAATAAAATTAGAAGTATCGATGATCACGCTCTCTCTACAATCGAGTAATTAAGTAATCGAGTAACTAGCAATTAAAATAAAAGAAACTAAATCAAACGATCTTCGTAAAGATGGTGCGACATATACATTTGCATAACACTACTTTTTTCTTATAAAATTAGCTTTGGATAGATTTCAAATTTTTGTATATTTTGTATATCAATAATCCCTTTGATATAAATTTAATTTTGTTTGCTATTTACAGCGTAAAAGTGTCAAAATCACTTGTGAAAAGTCATTCGTTCAATGGTCATGATGGGCTAGTAACGGCATCCACTTAAGTGTGGAGGGCGTAAAAGTTTCGATCGGCCATCGTAGAGTGTGATCGTAGACAATGTCCGTTGTGTCATAGTCGTAATATTGGTATATTTATGTTATTACATATAAATTATCCTCATCATGTGTCCTGCAAGGACATTGAAACATACTTGTTGTGTACAACAACGGTGTTTTATTCAACGAATCAGCCAATAAAATAAGTCAACTGCTCAACTCTCTCCATCATTTGCAACAGTGCCGGAATTACGGGAACTGATCGCAGACAATGTACAAACGTTCTAATGTAAATTTGATCAAATTTACATTAAATGAAGCTTAAAACGATATCATAATAATAATATGTATTCAATTTGTGTGTTGGCCTACTCTATTATAATTCGGTCATTATAATAGGCCACATTTGACATTTCCGAGTCTCAACTGACCATGTTATTATAAATTATAATAAAACATAAAATCAGTGTAACGCGTTAACATGTGCGTGACGCCGCCAGGTCCCCTGGTGATGGAGATGGAGACGTACCGCTACTCGGGCCACTCGATGTCGGACCCGGGCACCTCGTACCGCACCCGCGACGAGGTGCAGGAGGTGCGACAGACGCGCGACCCGATCACCTCGTTCAAGGACAAGCTCATCAGCAACAACCTCGCCACGCCGGACCAACTCAAGGTAACGCGGTGCCGTGGCGCTTCGTTCGGTCCCTCTATTTGATTTCAATATAAAGGTTTATATGTAACTGGCTTTCCGCCAGCGTGCGCCCTAAGGATACAATGAGGAAGTATTAAAAAAAAGAAAGCACTAAAAAAGCACCTCCGCTAGATGGCGACTCTAGCAGAAGTTGATTCTTGTAGGAAACGAATGGACCAAATGGACAGTCATTTCCGTTCCTTTTAACTAACCTATTAAAAAACTGTAATTTGAAAAGTTCTAAACTTAGATATCAATACAAATACGAAAAAGTACAAATAGAAAATGAGTTGTTTATTGAGTTTTGAAAAATAATTTACTTTTAAACTTGAAAGAAAACCGGAAGGGTTGTCGTGGAGAAATCAAGAACGTACCTTAGCGACATCTAGTTTGATTTCGGGAACTAATGTTTTTTTTTAATACTTTTTCATTACGACGACGGTTGCGTATGGCAACGTTTTGATTCCCAATACAAACTTTCACTCCCGTTTTCATTCCTTTGTTTGCTGTCTTTCGGTCCAATAGTTTCGGAGCTTATTCGTTGCAAACTAGAACACTGATGTCTATGCAATATTAATATGGAATAGAGCCGTGGGTACATTTAGAAATCACTATTTATAATATTCAGCATATTTCACATTAATTGACGTCAAATATAAAAAAAACCTAACGCAGAAATTTAAAAATAAAAAGATATTTTGAAAATCCTTAATAAAAGTGAAAACGAGAGCTTATCTTGGAAGACTGTTAACATATTAAAAAAAATTACAATTAAAGATTGAACTTCACAGGAAATCGACGCTAAAATCCGCACAGAGGTCGACGAAGCCACGAAACGTGCTAAGAGCGAACCAGAAATAGACGTCGAAGAGCTGAGCGCCGATATATACCATAATTGTGTAGAGAACGAAATCAGGGGCATACTGCCCAACGCACCGCTGAAACATCTAGAAGTTGTGCCACGCAAATAACAAGCTTCACGCACAGGAAATTAGGTCTGTTATCCCACTTAGTGTTCTGCGAACGAACGAAAATTATTTATTTTTTATGTTTAAACTAACTTTTCTTAGTGAATTTAGTGTTAGATTGTCGTAATATGGCTCGGTATCTGTGATATGGTAGTGGGTGATTAAGAATTGGAATTCATTAACCCATTTTATTTGTATGAACTGATCAGAATCGTTGTAGCTCTGTTGCAGAAGATTTATGTTCAGATGTCGGCTGTGGCATTACATTTGTTCCAATGTACAACTTATAAAGGCGTTGCGCCTTTGTGGACAGGTCATTTATAATCTTATTTACTTCAGGTGATATCTATATAAAATCCTTCATTAAAACAATAGATATATATTGACTATTTTTGTACTTTGTTTGACTTAATATTATTGTTTCTGTAATTATTACTGGTATTTTACACACAATCTTTGTGTTGACTTTATATAACATCACGTTTTGTAAGCATGATCCCCGCCATATCACAGTAGATATATATATATTTTTTGTAAGCGACAGTGAAGATTTTGAAATGCTTATTTTTACAGTTACAAACGATTTTATTATTGTAAGAAATTATGATTGTATTCTATGTATATCAATTTTTTTTTCTTTCGAGATTTTATTTTTTATAATCATTGTATATTTAAGCTTTAAACTGCCTCCGACATATTTTAGTATCACTGTTAAAATTATATATAATATAATCGTGTATGTATCTGTTTGTTTATTGTTAAGGGAAATACAGAATATTATTTATAAGACTTCTTTTTTATCGACCTTAAGACACTAAAGCTAAGATCATTTTCTGTAGGTTCTTGGGACTATTTTACTTGGCCTATTCAGTAGAAACTTAGAATCTTATGAAGTGTATTTTTGATAATGAATTACTGAATAACATAAATGTCGAGTCCTGTAATTTTGTATAATTGGATAAAACATGTTTATAATTTCGCCACAATGTTCTGGCAACCCTGAAACTGTCTGCTAATTATGAAGTCACGCGTCCTGGTTGTCGTTTCTTTTTACGTAATTAGACATCGAAAATTACGATTAAAAATATTGTATATTTTGATTTTAACACAAAAGTACATATAGAAATATAGACAGAACGCTTCCAGTTATTTTGTTAGAAATAGAAAACTACTAATTCGATTTCTATAACATTTTTATGGGATCACCTCAGTCCCATAAACTCTTGAATAAAAAGAATTTGAAATTCGTCCTCAATACGCAAAAAACGGTGAAAAAACAACAGTAAAACATAGTAACTCCTTTTTTTAAAATTAGTTTTATAGCTTTTTAGATTGATATATTTTTAAAAAATGAAACTCTTGAAAGATTGTAAAGATGTATTTTATTATATACATAAAAATTACAATTAATTTAATAATAACCTTTCTAAAGAAAAATAAATATTAATTCGACAAGGACTATATTACTATAATAATCTTTACAACTAAGTATAAGTATAACTCGTCAATGTTCATTGAAATTCTCAAATATAAATAACATAAAAGATATTAAAATAAAAATTGTTTATCGATTATTTCTGTTTGTATTCAGATATTATAAGGGCGTAATTCATAAAGATATTATAGCATTGTGAGTTCGCCCAAGAGTTCTACCAGTTACGGATCTAAGGGGAGCGAACCGGGCCCTGACCCGGCGTTATTGGTTGACAAAATCCTATTTTTTTTAGAATATGTCATTTGACGAAAACAATGTTGGAGACAGGAACAGCACTTTTAAGTTATTTATTAATAGTTAATACAATGATAGTCCGATGCCCAAATAAGGGTATTTATTGTACAGTGAGCATCAAATATTAGGGGACCATCATTAGATTCATAGAGGTCGTTTCAGCACCTGCCTATTACATAAAGAGAATTTAACTGCCCACCGCATATGCAAAGTTCAAATAATAACAATAAGTTTTTGCAGATGATACACGAAATAATAAATAAATATTGGTGCCGTAATCGCGATCCATACTGGCTCATTTATATAGGTCAACGGTGCGATTTCTATGGACTCATTCACTGGTCGATAAAAGGAGGCACTAGAACCGCACCCCGCAAAATAGTCATACCCCTTGTTGGCTATCAAAATATATAATCAAATACGTGACATTGACTATTTTATACATTTATAACATAACTACTGATGATGACGAATTCTTTCTTTTGCCTATCTCTAGAAATGCTAAACAAGATTGATGTCAATCAATGACGCATGTAGTAAGCGTTACTTTTCTTATGAATAAGGGTCGGTGCATATCTGTGCGCCGCGTCTCGCCGGTTGCGATACGTCAGAACTGACAAATATATCATATGACAATCTTCTTCTTCTTCTCTTATTAATGGCTTATCTGCGCATTTCGCACAATTCTGCCAACGTCAAGTAAATTAATTAATTTCTACATGTAAAATGAAAATGAAATGAATGAAAGATGATGATGGATCTGTATGACAATCGACATTTTACTTAACACACTCGACGGATGATCCGTAGCGTTCTAAAGCATACTTCCGTGTGACGCTCGACTATCTTCAGCTAGGTTAGGACCGACCCTTGCACAAATTTTAGGTTAATATAGAAACTCTTTGGTTTAATGACAACAAAACCAGCGCTCTATAGCAAGGCACAATATTAAGGCATTGAAATTAACTACGTCATGTTTTATAGTGTTTCCTAAATAGAGACATACATAATAATAATTAAGACTAATATACTTTTATTAAATGAAGTTTGTATTACCAAGGTAAATTTTTAGGATATTTTATTTTTCTTTATCCGTTTAAAATATCTTAGAATGATCATGAACCTTAAATTGAATGTATAATATACTTCTTTACACTTAGCTGCCTTTAAATATTTCTTTTTTAATTAAAAATATAAGTTGTCAATTATAGTATTTATATTCATTATGTCCACACAGAAACAAATAGATGTACAGTCAACAGCAATTAGGTTATCCAAAACTCAAATTTCTCGGTTATTATAAACTTTAATGCTTACGATTTAAAGTTCCAAATCGATTGCGGAAACATGAGATTTTGCAGAAACCATTTGATGCTGTCACCTAAAAAGCTTGCGGTGGAATCGAACAAGATTATCAATTAAAGACGATAAAATTAAATTACGCGATGCACATTTCATTATTTTTATGTTTAAATGGCAAAATAATATTATTAATTAAAACAACTTTTTGACGGGTTGTAAAGTGCTTATATTTATATTTTTACACGTTTTATGTTCACGTTTAACACACTATGTTATTTGTCTGTTTATTATTCAGTACAGTAAAACACAACTACTTCATTAAAAACTTAGAAGGGAGAAGTGAAAACTAAACGTCCGTCGACCTCAGTTTTGCGGCTCTGGGCATTAGCCCCGCTTGCCCCTTAGTACGGGCCTTAAGCGATGTACTCGTGCAAACATCTTAAAGTCGATCAAACAGTTGATTCTAGTAACATGCCAGACCGTGCCGACTGTGATGGAAACCTATTACGTCACACCTGAAAGTTATCATAATAAGACTGATTAGAAATTTCACGCTTTACGATCGGTCAGCAAACGAGGATTCACGACGTGCCAAATTGGTTGAGTTTTACTGTAACTGCGGTCTAACACTAATTTATCGGACATTTTCACATCACTAAAAATGTACCTATTTAAAAATTATACATGATTTTAGAAATGCCTAAGAATTATAAAGTAATGAAGATGAATTAATAAATATTATAAGGTATACTCCCGATGAGCTGTCTCGCACACACAAATTCTTTGCAAAGTGAGGAAGATCATTAATTAGGAATAGTAACGGTCCCAATATTGAACCTTGGGGCATGCCCATAGTGATGAATGCATCAACTAAAACTAAATAACAATAGGAAAACTAACAGTCGGTACATGTAGAATTGTCTTTAATGGGAATGTAGGATTGGCCTTTTGTGATTTAGGTTTGTTAGATATTTTAGTCCACGGTTAGAGGAATGTTTAGGAAAGCTAATTGGAATGAATTGTAACAACATCTATGCTGGATTCATGTATGTAGCTGTAGAGTTCAATCCATTAGTGAATCATGATTTTGGTACAACCTATAAGAAAGGTAAATAATATAAAAGCAATAAAAATATTTGAGCAGCAGCCTTATACAAACAAAAAACAATGCGACTCTATGCTTCATATCTGTCTTATCTCAAATGATCGACTGACAGATAACGTTAAATCCCAATCCGAATTAACCGAGTAGGAAAGTCGTGTTATCTTGAATTGGCGAGCTTACAACGACCTTCCTCCAATAGAAAATGGCGATCAATTTAAAATTACGAGTGCCATTATTGTATTATTTATTTTGAATGCATATCCGGGAAAAGTAAAAAATGCATTTACCACATTGTTCTGTTGGATTTGTAATATTATTATAATTATATGACTATAGAGTCACACTTAAAACTTCACACAGATCATCTGCTCGTTAGCTGAAATCCGTCATACTATGATTTTATACTTATATCTGTATCATCACTACATGTTCATATTCTCGTAGCAAGCTTGCAAGGTCCTTATAACGTTTCACTGTGATGTTACTAACTATCAATGAAAAGAGATGGCACTAGATCCGATTCTACTGTTGTCCAGCTGGTGGTGGTTCCTCTTCTTCCTCCACTATGCCGCACTGTAACTCGTACAGTTTAGCGTAGATACCCTTCTTGTCTATGAGCTCCTTGTGGGTACCGATTTCAGCGAGCACTCCTCTGTCTATGACACATATCATGTCTGCGTTCTGTATGGTGGCGAGTCTATGGGCTATGATGAGACAGGTACGACCTTCACTCGCTCGGTCCAGAGCTTCTTGGACCACCTGAAAAGGGCACATAAAATTTACATCACCTAAAGATGTGTCACGGTAACTCAATATCAGGTCTTTTGCTGTCGTGTTCACAATGAAATATTACAGTACCTATTAAACATAATAAACTTTTGACTTTGAAATAAATTTTAATATAATTTAAAAGTTTTATGGTCAACTGATACAATACTTCTTTCATACATTTGTCTTTAGAAACAGAATTCAAGTTTATTTGATCTAGAATTATTGACCTAAATTATTAATCATGCAGGTGTCCAACGTGAATAGCCGTTACAACCTTAACTTATTTGGGTGCATATATGTAAATCTATCTCAGTAATAGCATAAAATATTTTAACACTTTGAAGGAGGTAAATGAAATTAATTTTACAATCCGCACACCAGGACTAGTCAAATCGTTAAATTCACTTGTTAAATTGCGAGGTATCGAGAAAATGTTTGTTTTATTTGGGGATTTTGGGTGCGACCGCCCGCCTCTGTAGCCATGGTTCTAGCCATAGGATACGACATAATGTCGCGATTTTAAATCGATATTTCGTTTCAATTAACTATTTTGATATCTAATTTAATAACAATCTAACGAAACATAAAGAATGATGATTATGGATCGGCAGCAGTGGCCACCAGATAGGTTGTACTGTATTATCTTTCTTGTGTCCAGTTTCGTAGTCTAAGGTTGCAGTCTTAGTCTTAGGGGGGTGTAAATGCAATATCTAGTTTAGTCCTGGAATAGGAGTGAGTGTTACCTTCTCACTGTGCGTGTCTAGCGCGGAGGTGGCCTCGTCTAGCAGCAGCACGCGCGGGTTGCGCACCAGCGCGCGCGCTATGGCAATGCGCTGCTTCTGCCCGCCCGACAGCTGCGACGCGCGCGCCCCCACGCGGGTCTCGTACCCCTGACGAGTGGCAACACTTTCATTATCATCATAGGTTTCTTGGTGTGCCAACTGCTTTGGCAACATCGTCCTTATAATAGAATCAAATTATATAGTCCACCATGCGGTCTTAGTGCGGGTTAGTGGATAATTATATGTACAAACTGACCTACAGTCTTTGAAAGTTGTATTTATTATTGTGATAATGTTTATTATTTTGGTAATGACATGATTTTGTAAATGTCATTACTTATGATAAAGAGCTGGTAAGATTATTTCGCTTGTTCTTCTTATCAGCTAAAAGACGTCCTGAACAAGTGGCAGGGGGAAAAAAAACAATTTTTTTTTGCGCGATTCAAAAGTGCTTGTAACAAAGCTTACTTGAATAAAAATATTTTCATTTCTGTACGGTACGGTACGGTAGTACTGTTACGGGTTCGGTGCTTGGGTCAATTAATAAGGCTGCTTAGCTTGAGTTTATATTTATTAGTTAAATAAGGGTAATAAGAAAAAACCCTTGTCGGGCTTCTAGTTAACTTTTGGATCTTCCAAAATACAGATTACAATTTAGTAGTTACATATGTTATATAATTTGTATCACCATATCACATTATTTATCACAATAAATGAATTATTTAAAATTACATAGTAAAATTTATACCATTAATATTGTATTGTATTATAATTTCATCTTGTGCATAGGAGAATTTCTTACGAACTGACATCCATAAAGAGTATAATTGATTAGTCAAAATTTTAAATTACGAAAGACGAATAATAAAATGAAATGATGTTGAATTTCAAAAACAAAAAGTTTGCATACTGAAACCTAGGAAAACAAACGGTGGCATGGCACACCGTTACAGTACAAAGGAGCTCGAGAACTTTGGTCATCTTTTCAATTACCGAATCTTAAGCTTAATCCCACAATTGCAACTCGATCATCGCAAACCATTGCGCTTCGAACGTTTCAGCCTGCTTTAATTTTATCATCATCGATTTGAACTGACGAAAAATTCACAGCAAAACAAAACCTCAATCACCATGCTAAAGCTGAATTACAGGTATTCGATCTACTTTGAATCGTACTTTCATATGTATATGATTCACATGTATGCCGTTTGTACAATACGTCGCTGTCCACCGTTCGTGATCGCAATGTGTCACGTGGAGTTCTGCAAACCTATGTTTTGCACATAGAGACATGTAGGTAATACAGCAAAATGTAATAGTAATAACAGAACTCACGGTTGGTAACGCAGCGATAAACGAGTGCACGTTGGCCGCCTTCGCAGCGCTAACGATCTCCTCTATGGTGACCGTGCGAGTGTTGTCGCCGTACGCGATGTTGTCGGCGATGGACCGGTCGAACAACACCGGCTCCTGTGACACGATGCCCAGGTTCCGACGGAGGGTGGTCAGCCGCATGTCACTCGCGATATTGTAGTCGTCCAGATACTACCATTACCAGAAGACTATTATATACTCAAGATTCTTTTACATAAACTACACTAAATTTAAGTTTACTCCTGTATAACTGCGCTTTTATGATAAGAAACTATAGTATAATTAGGTTTCTTTGACTTTTTGTTTTGTTTGCCCAAAATATTTGTTTTTAGTTTATTAACAGAAACAGCAGAATCAGCACCCGAAAATAGTTATCTACAATCCAATATTTTTCCTGTGCGTAAAAGTGTCTATGGAATCAGCACCAGATAGTAAATCCATCTATTCCAATAGTTCTGGATATAAAGAGTGTCCAGTATACTGACCACGCTGCCATTGTCCGGGTCGTACAATCTCTGCAGCAGTTGTATGAGTGTGGACTTGCCGCAGCCGCTGGGCCCCACGAGCGCAACACGTTTCCCGCTCGGTATTGCTAGAGTCAACCCTCGCAACACCTCCACTTCGCGACGTGTCGGGTAACGGAACATGACGCTGTCGTAGTTTATCTTGCCCGTCGCTACCTGTTAGCAGATAGACTCTAAATTCCTATATATTTATTATTGTTCTTGATTTTGTAAGTTGTGGTTGTGAGGGATCAACTCGAAGCTTTCAGGTCAAGGGAGCCTTGAGAGAGAAACAGGTGCAGCAGCGTGAGGGAATATTAAAGAAAGGAAAGGTAAGATGTACGTACGTTTAAAGTACCGAGTGCCTCTTGTGTACTCTTAATCGCGAGTTGTTTATCCGGGTCAATCAAGATCAAGACAGTTGTATATAATTTGCCGTACCTCTATTGTATGCTGATAATACTCACGAAGTCCTCGTTGACTGCCGGTGTGACTGTACTCTCGATGGTCGGTTGCCGCGCCAGCTGCGTCATGATGCGTCCAGCGGCACTGATCGCGGCACCAAAGTTAGGCGCGAACGCCAACGCCTGACCCATCATCCAGGCGCCGAAGATTAGCGCTTCCGAAACTCTGACACAGACGGTGTTTTACCTCCATAAATTTGGACCAATTCGCAAAATAAACACAGTTTAAGTGTCGGCATCATCACGTCATCGCCATCTTTAACATTGTCACTGTTATTATCATCGTTCAAACTGTTGAGCGCTGTACCCAAGATTTTAAAGTCATTAAATATTATGTTTATCTTCAAAAAATTATTTTTGATTGTGCTTCTTGTGACAGTTTTTTTTTGTTGTTAATGATAATTAACTTGTTACTACTACCAGCTTTAGCGAACATTATTAGTTTGCGATTATTTTTAGTATCAACTATTTATAAGGGCATCTCTTTTATATCAACTTTATAATATCAATTAAATAAATAAATCAGTAGTTTTAAATAAAGGTACAGTAATAATATTGCTTTGCCGGCGTTGACGTTTCATTATCCAGTATGAAGTACACAATAATTAATAGGCAAAAGTATTTTGTGAGATAGTGTAGAAACAAAGACCTGAATTCGATAGCATTTAGTCTTTCCTTTCGGTGAAGACCACCATGCTTACTCTCGAACTTGTGCCGCTGCGCAATCGCTCGATCGACCGCGATTGCGTTCTAGAGTCTATGAGCAAGCAGTGTATGTGTAGGTACTGACTTGATGACGTTCTTGTAGTGCACCTCCTTGTCGGCGACGAGTATGCCGCCGTACCAGAGCGAGAGCGCGTACCCCGCGACGGGCGCGGTCTGCCCGAACGAGAACACGCACCCGCGCCACCGCACGCTGCGCCGCGCCTGCGCCTTGGCCGCCAGGCTCGCGGTCTTGTACCGACTCAGCACGCCCTCCTCGCCGCCTGACCACCATCACCACACACATATACATTCATACTCGTCACGTCAGCCTATTCATATATGTCTGGTGGAGCACAGTCGAATACTAACACCTTACGCGGGCCGTGCGGATTGTTGGAAATAAGACGAAAGATACGTTGCGTTACATTCAACCTCGTACATCATACGAATTCTTTATTGTAAGACGTTTGACGGGCTTGACGTGCTGGGACAAAAACGGAGTACGGAGTAGCTACAGCAAATGGAATTTTAAGCACCCATACTTTGAGAAGGACATTTGGCTCGAGGATTGACTTTGCTCGTTCGACTTGTTTGGTATTCGGGGCCCATTGTTTGTTAATTATAAAGGAATATCTTAGTTGTTACACGTCCCTTGTCCCCGGGTACTGAAAGTAGTGCTCATCATATAAGACCACCATAATGCATGAGATCGACGTGTCGACCTTTATTGGCAACGTCAATATCACTAAGAAAAGCAGCATCAGGATAGTTTGAGCCACATCCATCGAGTGAAATCCTTTAAATAATGCATGTGAACACGTCTACATATACGGTTAAGGTAGTAAGGTAGTGTAGTAACCCAGATAGCATGCTAACTTGGGGCAAGTTTAATTTTTCTTTGATTCTAAATTGCTTCGTCGAATATACGAGGCAAGTTTGTGACAATGTCGCTGCAATATAGTTATGTTAAATATGAAGTTTCAAGTTTGCGACCATATTATTTAAATATTGTTATGACAAAGATACTTATTTGTAATACACCCATCATCTTCATAGGTGCCCGAAACTAGATGGCGCTGTTCATTTAATGCATCGCGGTATCAGTTTATATTGTTAGATTGTATGAGTAATATGCCGTTTAATGTGATCTTAATATGGGATTCGAAACTAACCGTTCCAGTTAACTACTTTGACTTTTAGGCTAAACTCTGTGCTGTGATCTGAGTTTACAGTCGCAATCGCTTTTCGACCAGAATTTTTGAATGATAAAAAGGTAAATAAAATCTTAGTAAACACAAAGTAATATTTGCCTCGAAACCTGTATTCTAGTCCAGGTACTCGAGTACGCGAGTACCTGCTAGGTATTCGAGTCAGTACACTTGCACTACCTTTGATACGTCTAAAGTAGTGCAAGTTTGTCACACTGAAACTAGAAAGTTTGATTTAAACTTGCTGCAAGTTGCTGCAGCTGGCAAACTAGAAGCAAGTCTTCTTTTTTGATGTATCAAACTTGTTGCATGTTAGAAACAAGTTTAAATTCAAATTGCTATCTGGTAAGGTAGTGTATAGTTACAGAACGCAGAGATGGTCCTGATGTTGGTGATGGCCTCCGTGGCGATGGTGTTGGCGCGGTCGGAGGCGGCGCGCACGGCGGCGATGCCCTCCGCAATCACGCGCCCCTCCAGGATCACCGCCACGATCACCATCGGCACCGACACCAGCGACACCAGCGTCATCTTCCACGTAAAGAACATCGACAGCGCTATGCCGATCCCGATGGTTGCCGCCGCCTGCATCAGCGCCCCGATCCTTGTGCCAGTGGCCTGTTTGTTGACGTTAGTTTTGCTATGATGCCATTCTGCCGTTGTACTAGTACTATCTACCTGACGTACTATATTGTTATATGCCTGTCACCATTTATGTTGAAGACATTGAATTGATAATATTGGACTTAAGGTGGACAGTACAATGGTATGATGCATGTCGTTGAGATTCTATTGAGATGCGATGTGACCAAAAATAAAATTTTATTTATATAAACTACTTTTAACGGATAACAATGAGTTTGATATTTGATTATTTTAAGACGTTTCAGATATTTTACAGGTTACAAATTTTAATTTCTACCATATTATGTTTCTTTATTTTATTTATTTAATTCTTTATGCACAATCGTACAAAGGCGGACTTTTGGATACTTTTAGATTACTTAAATAAAGAGATGTAGATACCTCTGTCCTCGTTTTAAGTCGTTCGAAAAACATAAATGGTTTATCCTAATCCATTATAATGACATTCACAGCATAACCATTTTGCTGCACATTGATTATCTAATATTATTATCGACGGCGTCAGAGCAGTACCTCCGATATATAGAATTGATAAATAAAGCGCTCAATGTATTGGTTAAAAACATAACAAGAAAATACGCAATCTCAGTTAAATAGTTAAGGTACTCCACTGATTGGTCGGAATCCTCCACTGATCGGTGGTTTGAAAAGTTCTCTGCTTGACCAAGAAAACAAAGAAAATAAAAACATGTTTTATTTTTCACATATTCTCCCCTTGTCTTAATACAATGGCAATTGACATACGGCTAAATAAAGAATCGAGCTGTCGAATGACAATAAATTAGTTTACATACTACCCTCAAATCTCGGTCAAGCCGAGAACTTTTCAAACCACTCCTGTGTAATGTTTTTATACATTGTTTAAATAGATAGTGTAAGTATATTGGTAAACGAAACCTTACACCTTGCACGCCGGCCGCGTCAGCAGCGAGCCGCGAGCACAGCGCCCCCACCCCGTTCTTTGCGTCATCGAACCAACCGATCTCCTGTTTCAACATCGTGCTGAAAGCTGCCACTCTGTCGAAATACAATCAGAGTAGAGGATTCGTTTGTTATTTCATACATAGCTTGTTATTTGTTAAACAGGTATGACCAGTACCTTACGTGTATGTGTTTTTGGTCGGCGTGAAATTGAGACCAAAGGACTATGGTTTTAATAGACGAAGGGACACAACTCGCCAGTATTTTTACTTCTGGAATTTACACCAGAGGTGCCATGCACACCCTTTTGCTTTATCTCAGTCGTATACACAATACCCTGACACTTTGGTTACACATGCCAAATTAATTGTTATTATTGTCACAGGTGCATCCATCACAGAATTGATCGTGTTCCATCATAATATTTAATCAAGAATTCACAATTACCGAAGTCGTGCTGTCAAGCGTACTCCAGTGAGATTGAAGATGAAGATTTGAAAGAAGATTCCAACTCCAGTGAGCAGGCCCACCAGGAGGAAGTATACTGCAATCATATTCGTCTCCCCTCGCACCCAGTCCTCGTCAGAACTTTCTAATAACTACAAGATACAATGATGAATCTATGAGTCATTGTACATGCTGCTTAATTATAAGTAGCAAAATGTCTTATGTCACAAGAACCCGATACAACGAAGATGCGCAAAAGATAATTTTCTACATTCATATAGAAGAGACAAGGGTTGTGACACGATGATGGTGTCATACCGTTTTTATAAGAGATGAAATTGGCATTAGAATTTCTCAACTGCGGGAGATCAAAGGTGACTGTGTAACTTTTGCAAATAAAAATGTATAATTGAATACGTTTAAAGTTTATCGTTTGTGTAAATATTTCAAGGTATGACTCGCTGATCTTGATCTTAAATAAATTTAATTTGTCATTTCCGAAACTCCTGTAGCAGTTACTGTAAAACTAGAAAGAGGCATATATAAACTTACGCCATAAGTTTCACCGAAGAGCACAGCAAACATGGGAAAGGATGAGCCGACAGCAATGGCTGCCACTATTCCTATGATCATCAGATACTTCTCCGGTTCGCAAAGTTTCAAGATCTGCCATGTGGTCGGCCTGAACTCGTTGGGCGGATTCGGTTCCATCACCACGCTGTCTTCGGAGATCGTATCTTCGGTAGTACTTATCATGGACTCTTCGGATGCCAACTTCTGAAGTTTCGGTCGTTGAAACCGAGCATCTGATAAGAAAAAGTCATCAATATCCCATTTACCATATTAGAACATAATAGTCTATAAAACTTATATTAGTTTAAATTTTAACTATTAAAGTAGTTCTTTATGAGTCTTGGTAGCTTTTTGGTATATCCCATAATTAGGTTACGGGCAAAATTCGATTGTACTTAATAGAGAAACTTGCAAACAGATTTAAAGTGAGTATTCTGAGTAGACTTTAACCTAAGATCATTGTACACATCATTAATATTATTAACCTTACCTTTAAGGTATACCGATGGCAAACTTAAATATAAACTGTAGTTCAGGTTGTATCAATATTATTATTAAAAATTATCTGAGATTAAGATTTTTATATTATGAGAATTCGTTTTCGAAATTATCGACATTTCCATCAATACGATTAAGTTCATTGTGTGTACGACACATTCTTATGATCGGGTTATAAGAAGACGTAAGCATTGTTTTTGTAGATTTGGATTATAAATATATTAACTAAATTTAGTCAACCTATTACTTAAATGACCGATCAAAATTAATAAAGGCTTCTTTAAAGGGTGCGTCAGCCTATTTCAAATATTTTTGGGATACATATGATATGAGTTGGTAATATTACAAATGCCTTTATCAATTCTGTGACATTATCCACGGATCGGTTGGATAGGAAATATAATTACATCGAAGTAGCTGACTCCGCGAACTTCGTGCCAACGTTTAATTTCTATAAAACACTAGCTACCATCCCACGACTTCGCCCGATGTAGCTTCTTGAAATTTTTTTTAAAACTGGTCCTATAGTTTCGGAGCCTATTAAATGCAAACTAATTCCTCTTTATAATATTGGCGTATATAATATTCACGTTTCTCAGGATCGTGCGCGGATGTGGTGGGGTCGGCGCCACTGGGCCCCACGCTGGGCTCGTTCTGCAGCACGAGCTGGTAGTAGCGGCCCTTCAGCTTCAGCAGTTCCTCGTGGGTGCCTTGCTCCACCACCTCGCCCTTATCGATGAACACTATACGATTCGCGTTTAGAACTGTCGCCAACCTATTATTAAATAAATTTTGTAACAAACTAAGAATGTATTGTTTAAGTGTAAAAATTAGGCAGATCAAAATAACTCTAAATGCACCTTTGTATTTTATATTCGTTCTACAATATTGAATTTTGATTTAGTCAGAGATATTAGGAAAGTTAGAAAAGAAAAAAGCTACGAAGGTCGATGAAGGTGTATCTACTAATAGTGAATCAAAAGAGCAATCTCAGGTCGACAGTTAAAAAAGGCAAAAGAGAAATTAAAACCCAGACTGGTTTTCAGAAAATAAATGTATTTATTTGTATTGTCATAATATGCAATCTGCACGTATTCATTTACGTCGATCGCATATACAAATCGACAACATATACCTGTGGCTCACCATGATGGTGGTCCTTCCGTGAGAGGCCGAATCTAGCGCTCTCTGCACCTTAGCCTCGCTGTGAGAATCTAACGCTGATGTGGCTTCATCCAGCAGCAGTATTTTCGGTTTCCGAACTAAAGCTCGGGCGATCGCAATACGCTGCTTTTGACCACCAGATAGCTGGGCACCACGCTCTCCGAGCAGGGTGTTGTAACCCTTTAACATACAGAAAGTTAATCGCTTTGAATTATTTAGAGAGTGACCATATGGTTGTGGTTGTTTTCAGAGCACTCACCTCTGGCAACTTTTTAATAAAATCATGGCAGTAAGCCTGTTTTGCTGCAACGACAATCTCATCATCCGTGCAGGATGGATTGCTCAGTCTAAAAATAAAAACAAGAAAAATAAAAAAAAATGTGCAACCAGTAAACGTTTCGGCTTAAAGTTTTTGGAAGTTCACAATCCATTGTCAGTCAATATAGTCAATTGTAAAATGAATATAATTATATTGTGAACAATAATAGTTTTGCTTATTTAAGAAAATCTGTTGATCCCAATATCTCCAAAGATTTCTTGCCATCACCAGAAGTCCATATCAAAATCAAGAAGCTGGATATCAGTAATTATCGCAAAAGGCCGGATGGGTATAGAAAAAATTATTGCATCATGCTCCTCCGGAATTTTAAAAGCTTGTTAAGCAGTCATGCTGCATCTGCAATCGTTACTACCCACTAATCCGCATCTGGCCAGCGTGGTGGGTTATGAGTCTATTCATGATGATGACAGCAGCCATTAACCATTGGTGCTCTCTTACACCTCAAAGCTCCATTTCGTTTGCTGACCTAATGTTATCCTTAATACTGCCAGCGAACAGCACTGGCTCCTGTCCGACCACGGCGATATGATTCCGTAGATGTCTAACGTTGACGTTTCGCAGATCGTTCCCGGACGCTGTGACGCTGCCCTGGTCGGGATCGTACATTCTCTGCAGCAGCTGGAGTACGGTCGACTTGCCGCAGCCACTCGGTCCAACCAGCGCCACCGTCTCATTCTGATTTATTTTAAGCGACAGGCCATTTAATACCTGGAAAGAATTAAAGATTATAAATCTTGAATTAATTGTGATTTTTGAAAACCAGCAAAATAGTGTGTAAGATACATTGGAGTGAGAACTTTTGTTTATTTAATCTTTATTGCAATGCAGCAAAGGGCTTAATGCTGTGTACGGCATTCTTTGCCAGAGAACATAAAAAAAACTTATCTTGAAATGACTCACTGTCTGAACTAATCCGATTTGATTCTAAAAATTCACAAAGACACACGTTATACCTTGACGTCTTGTCTCGCCGGATACGTAAAGTGGACTTCTTTCAGAGCCAAGTCCCCTTTGATCTCGGGTTTGGTGCCCTGAGTGGAGAGGCTATCTATTTCCGGTTTTCGGTCGATGACGGCAAAAATGGAACCTCCCGACGAACGGGCCGCGTTCATTGCTTCCATGTGGGGCGCTGTCAAGCCGACGTTCTGAGCACCTTGGAGAATGCTGAAGAATATCTGATAAAACAAAATCTCTTTGTTGTGTCCTGAATACATAAACTGTTTCAATACAACATGTTTTGGTGCTAAGTTATTAATAGTGATATACATATGTATAAACAGTCGGTGCATTAATCACGAAACTTCCAACGAATTTATTAAAACGGACTTGATTCTGAAATAGCGAAAATGAAACTTACAATCATCAATACGGCGGGAGTGTAGATAGGCTTCTCATCATGTCTGCTGTCTAGAATAAGACCGACGCCATACCAGAAAGAGAGAGCGTACGTTGCGTAGATAATGAGCCACATGACCCCACTACCTATCCCAGAGTACACACCCCTCATCACTCCCATTTTTCTGGCTGGCTCTAATCGGGTTGTGTACCTATGGACAACATTATAAGGAGGAAGGGTGAAGTTAACTGGTGAAATTAATTTTCATTTTTCATGATACTGGGGACACTTCATTGTTATGACTTGTTTGTATCGAAAGGTAACTCTATTCAAAATATTATATACATAAACACCTAATCTAAATTCCAGACCATTAAGAGTCTAGAAATCGGAACAGTAAATACGAGGGTCAAACTGAAAGTTCTTAGAACTGGCCACTTATAAACAATATAATAAAAAAATAATTCTAAAATTTGAAAATATAACTCTTTGCCAATATTACTGAGTATATATTTCATTCATTTGTCATTTGTTTTACGATTTGGCGTCAAATTGAAAATTGTCTGTGTCACGTCATCATGAATTTAACACGAGAAAATTTTCGTGCAATGATTTTTTATGACTTTCGATGTCATTTAAGTCAACAAGAAAGTTATGATAGACTACGATTGGCCTTTCACGATGAAGCCCCATCTCGTGCGACTGTTTACAACTGGTTTAATGAGTTTAAACGTGGTCGCACTAATCTCACTGATGATTTACGTGAGGGACGGCCTTCTACGGCGACGACTGAAGATAACATCTGTGTTGTGCGGCGTATGATAGAGACTGACAAAAGAGTGACCTATCAACAGATTCGGACAAGCTTAGGCATCGGTATGAGTCAAGTGCACAAAATCCTCCACGAACATTTAGCGGTCAGGAAGCTTTGCGCCCGGTGGATACCTCATAATTTGACTGAGGCTCAAAAACTCCATCGTGTGGATTGGTGTCGTAAAATGATTGAAAGATTTAACGGAGGTGACTCAAATGCTGTGTTCGACATACTAACAGGTGACGAAAGCTGGATTTACTGTTATGATCCTAAAACCAAAAGACAATCTGCTCAGTGGGTGTTTCCTTTCGAGGAGTTGCCAACTAAAGTGAAGAGAGATCGAAGTGCGGGAAAAAAAATGGTGGCCTCGTTCTTTGGAAGGATAGGTCATTTTGCAACAATTGTGTTAGAGGATCAAAAAACAGTTTCTGCAGAATGGTACACTACCAATTGTTTGCCACTTGTCTTGGAAAAAGTTCGAGAGAAACGACCTCGCAGTAGGATCCTCCTTCACCACGACAACGCCTCGTCGCACACCGCCAAGCGAACGATCGACTATTTGGCGACATCAAACGTTGAATTACTGGGTCACCCGCCGTATAGCCCCGACCTCGCGCCTTGTGATTTTTATTTATTTCCAAAAATTAAAGAAAAACTTAAAGGAAAGCGGTTTATGAATGCTGAAGAAGCGGTGGCTGCGTATCGCGATGCCATTGAAGAGACCCCTAAGGACGAGTGGGCAAAGTGCTTTTCCCAGTGGTTCCATCGCATGCAGCGGTGTATTGACGTGAATGGACAATATTTTGAAAAGATATAATAAAACTAATAACTGGCTAATGTAATCAGTTTTTGATTTTCTAAGAACTTTCAGTTTGACCCTCGTAGAAAAAAAAGGTAGTTTAAATTATCTTATAGATCACTAATAGAAAAAAGAGTTGGGGTCTAATACAGAACATAGAGAGAGATCTAAGGATACTTTCTAGTAGAACTCCATGATTAGTCATCGCTTGTGAATAGCTTTTCAAGCATTTACCTGGTTATCTCTTTCCTCTCACCACCAAAAGCTACCACTGTTCTAATGGCAGCCAAAACTTCTTCAGCGACAACACCAGCCACACTGTACGCTTTTAATTCTCTCGTAGTTAAAGATGATTGTACCTTTAAAATATAGTTGTTTGTGTATTAATTATAATTATAAACTACTCCGTAGCTGAAGATGTTGTGTAAAAAAACATTAGTCAATAAGAATATTTTGGAGTAGACTAAAGGTGATATAGTACCTTAGCTACTACAGCGGTAGTGGCTATGACTACGGGCGTGCACGAGAGGATGACCAGGGTCAATTGCCAGCCGTAACAGAAGGAGATCATCACGGCAAACACGAACGACATCACCAAGTATATCAACATCGGCACCTTCTCACCTATTCCCTCCCTGTACTTTTCAACGTCGCTGCAAAGAAAAAAATCAAAAAGTCGATAGTGCAAACTTCAGATGATTATGTTTGCCTCTTATTATTTGAGTAGTTTTTTTAACTTTTGATATTATCTTAACTAAGTAAGAGCTTTTCTCGTTGAAATGTCTTTTTGCACTTGCATTTCTGCATTCCTTTAACGCACTATGTAACTTTACGACTGTATGTGGAGCCCAATGACTCTGTAGTTAGCACATTCAGTATCCGTGTTTTGAAAGGCATGTCGGCCCGTTGGTCGTAGTTGTGCCTGTGTATCTGTATTCTCACCAAGCCGAACGTGTTTCGCGGTGTGATTCTATTCAGAGTGAAACAGTGAAGGCAAGTGCTGTTGTAGTTGGGAATTGTGGGATATTATTAAGATGATGACGATTATGACATTTTCTATAGTATATTTGATGCTTTCCTACAAATTTCCCGCGTAATTTATATCCTACTAGCTGTTTATCCGCAATTGCGCTCGAGTAAATTATAGCCTACCTCACCCGCGTATGATGTAGCTTACCGTAGGTGTAGGAATTTTTAAAATTGGTCCAGTAGCTTTCGAGTCAATTCAATGCAAACATAACAATAATCCAATCTTTTCTCTATATTACTCGACATTGATATATCTCTAGCTAAAGGCTCGTTTCACCTCTAAAGCTCAAGGCATATTTTACTTAAATTACTAAAAATTAATCATCTATTTACATTACACTCACTTATTATTTTGGAAATTGTTGGAATCACAAGTTGATACTTCATAGAGGCACGCTTGAAATAAGACCTCATACGTTAATTTACTTTCTAGTAAATACCTAACGCATAAGTAAAACTTACTCTGAAACTTTAGTAGCAAAGTTGACTGTCGTGTTCAGATCATACCACGATATGTCTTGACGTAGAACAGATTGAAGGAATCTCTCTTTTACTCTATCAATCTATAAAAGAAACAGTAAAGCACGATACAATATATTATTGGGAAGCGGACGGTATGCAACAAAGAACCTTATTTAAAGCAATAACAAAGATGAATATATTTCTAACAAAAAAGAAAATTAAATAAAATCGAAACATTATTTGTAATATCTATAAAAACGGCAAGTAATAAACTTCGAATAGAAGGTTATTTATCGCCAGACTTCATACTCGTAGATTATTTAAGCTGGGGGGTATATTACGAGTTCCCGGGTTTCGACATTGAAGATGAGGGTTCACTGTATAATAAAAAAGGCAGTCTGATTATGTTTACCTGTTTAAGTGCAATGTAGTTGAAGAGGTCAATACTGATGACCCCCACAATGAACTGCAAAAATGCGAACACAAAACATCCAATTCCGAACGCCTGAGAGTCTTCAATCAATGCTGCTCTGTTCTCTGCCGCTGATGCATTTGTTCTACGAGCAATCACATAAGTGTTAATAAAATTTATAATATAGATATGTATGTACTTATGTTTTAATTAATAATTTGATACATATACCCACGTAGAGAAAGTCGTCTTTTATTGATAAAAAATTAAAAAATAACTGACTAATCAAAGACTCGACAGTTAAGTGTATACTAGGAACTTCATAACTATTCATTTATTTCTGAGGAATGACAGTTTTACCCAAAGCATCCTACTATCTCATCTAAAAATATCAACATACGGTACTTTAACGGCTAACTTTTGGTTTAAGAAATTTGTATATGTCGTAGGCAAATCGTTGAATTGGGCCGATCGAGATCTGCGCCATTTCTTGATTCTCAAAATAGGTGAACGTCGACAGGAAAAAAATGCACCCTCAGCAGTTCTTTACGTACGGTCTTGGAACTCGTAATTCTAATTTGCTTAGTAAAATTGGATAGTCAATTTTCTGATTTAACACATTAGAATGGGGCATTCTTTTCTCAAAAGCTAGCAAACTGCAAGCGTGAGAGGACAAATTATCTGCATCGCACAAAATATACATAGCCGTTGAACATTTGACTTTTTGAAGTCAGTAAAAAATAAGAAGCATTCCTTTATCATTAAAAATATTTTGTCAATCGCTTTATTGCTTTTATTAGATTCTGTATTCGAATTAGGAGATCTTTAAATTAATTATCTACCATTACTAATATTGAAAATATGTCAATTTCAATAAGTACTTACAACTTTCTGCCTCCACCAAACATGGAAATAGTCAAAACTGGTGTTGAGGTGCCATTCATAACGGTTCTGTCGATCAGCAACGACGTGAACTCGCCGTAGACGATGACACCGACGGGCACGAACAATCCGTTTATGCAGGCAAACATTGCGGCAACCAACAGCACCATGATCTCCCATGGTTTCGCGAACCTAAGCTAAATAATATCAACACTTGTGAATGTATTTACCAAAAAATAATTACAGACCATATGTAAAGAATTATAACATAAGTGACAACACGTGAACAGGAAAATCTAAAGACTGGATCCGACAAAACATTTTTTTTTTTAATTTAAATGTACGCGTGTCATGAATGTGGATTAATGACATTAGATCACCAATCACCGGTCAACAGGTGTGGTGTACTGTATACATAATTACTTACTAGCTTGCACCACGATACCGCAGCAGCTTGGCTTTTTTCCTCTTCTTCTTGTCTAAAACAGGATTATACATTGATATTAGCGATGTACACACAACACCAGGTCAGATTACTGCTAAAGGTAAATTTGAATTAACTTGCTGTTAACGGTGCAGTTCATTTTAATGTGCGTGAATAACAAACATAAATGATCAAGGGTAGGCATTGTAAGGAAATAAAATTATATGTGGTGGGTAAAATTATAGATAGATGAGGAGCTCGATCGCTCAGTAGATAGCGCGTTTTGTGTGCGACGCGGAAGTTAAGCAACTTAGATAAGAGTCGATCATAGGATGGGTGATCACAAATGTATTATATTGAGTTCCTCCGTGCTTTTTAAAGGTTTTTTAAACCCTTGATCCAGGCTGCATCTGCATTCGTTAACACCCACCAATTCCAGCGCCAGCGTTGTATGTAATGGCTCATTTTCTCTTTTCTAATCGATTTTTCTAAGCGGCCAGAATCCGGTCAACGCTTATAATTATAGATATTTAAGTCTTACTATATATAAGTACTTACTGCGTTTTGGCAGTCATTCCCGTGAGTTGATTCAAATTCTACTTTTCATTTTGTAATTTGTTATTTGATATCACTCTTCTCATTTACACTCTCGGAATAAATCTAAACATCTCTCAGGATAGATTGAAGATCTATCAGAAATACTTCAGAACCCTGAGAATAAGGAATGAGAAATTGTATAATACTTACAAAAACGCAAGCAGCTCAGCAATATGCAGCGAATGACGAAATAAAAAAAGTAGTGCAGAAATACAAACCTTATTACTATAGATGCAAGTATGAATACTCAGCCAATGAAGCGTAGTGCGGCGCAACTCAGCGGCTGGTGGTAAACTTTGCGAAGGATAAATAAATGGATGGTATATAAAGTAGCCGAACTTGAATGCTCTTCTAAGAAATAAGTGAAAAAGCTCTTTCGATGGCTACATGTATTGAAATACACCTAGTACTACTAAATAAATAAAAAAACAATCCAAGGAAAATAAAGAACTACCTACTACAAAAACTTGTAATAATCACAGAACATAGAGAGGGTTCTAGAACGAAAATCCTCTTCAATTTCTAGGAGGACCGATGTTGTCAGGATGTCCACTGCCCACTCTCTTTCATCACCACTAGTGCACGGTAATACAAGGTCACGTACACATATGCAAGTTCAGTTGCGATAGCAAGTAGGGTTTCAGAAAATACAAATTCTTCTTGGAGGTGATTTACGCCAGTGGCAGATTCTTTTGCACATTTGCTCCTAGTAGACTATAAACTTGGCTACCCCTACCTTTCGCCTAATATCAATATTTTTTTGTCATGACATTCGATTACATGACTACACAAGTCTACTATTGTCTTAATTACACTATCGCGAGGGTTATCAATGATAATTATCACTCCAAACCCTGTTTAATATGATCACGATGAAAGTTTTAAAATACTTTTCCCAAAATAGTCAAATAGATAACTCACACAGACGAAGTCGCGGGAAATTAGCTGGTATTTAATAATAGACAGCTTCAAGCAAGTAAGGTTGACAAACCAAGCGAATCGCGAGCATGCATCAGCTTGTTTTTACTTTTTTTATAACTACACGTGAGTTGCGCTCGGTCTTGTCTCCAACCACAGAAAAAGGAAAAATGGTTTTCCCACAACATACGCGTTGCGACTTGGATATCAGCATCGGTTGTTGCTGATGTGGATGCTGATGCTGATATTCGCATAAATCCTAGTACCCTATCAGGAGTACGAAACGGCACAATTACAACGTGGTGCTGTCGCGAGTTAGGGGGCAGATTTAGTACATGATTAATATTGATTTAAACATCTCTCAGGATATTTTCACGCGCACTATCGATAAATGAAACAACTTTTAAACGGTTTCATTTCGGTTGAATTTAATTTTATTGACGTTTCGGACCCTTTACAGATTCCGTGTTCAGATACGATTCTCATGATTAATGCTTCATTTTTCGCTCCTAAAATGTGCTAATTAAGCCCATTTTACCTAGCTTTAGCCTGTTAAATCCAAAACTAACTTAAAAAACTGGTATAAGGTCTTTCGATTTTAACAAGAGCTCGTATTTTTGTGGAACGTTAGCCACATTACCACTTACCATGTTCTGTGCTCACTACATTACAGATAGAGCTCCTTCGGAGGGTGCTGCAGTAGTTAAAAATAGTAACTTTTACGAAATCACTATTAATAATATTCTTTATGAGTTGCAATTGCCTTTAAATGAAGTTAAAGAGTTAACTTAGAGCGACAGCATATCTTCTAAAAGTAGTATGAAGTGTCTAATATAGATTGACTTACTATTTTAACTGAAGCGGCAGCTGTGCGAGACAAGGGTATGCGTATCTAGTGTCTACATACTGGCACTTACTGCTCTTGTCTTAATGCCTTCTCAGCTAAATAAGCGGAGTGTTGTGCGAGCGCTCTGATAGTGATGGAGTTGGAGCGCAGAGGTAGATTGAGAGCAGGCAGCTGGTCGCTGAGCCGCCTCACCGGTATCCGTTGGACGCTTTTTTGAGATTCATTCCGTTTCATTCTTGGGTCAACCGCTCTGAAATAATATAAGTGATTTAACTTAGCATCGGTTGATCAGCATTTATTAATGAACTAAATTACGGACGACATACTTAAAAAATCCCGAATACGTTTTCCTATGATCAATATTATATTATCTAAATTACGTAAAATTCTGATTTAAAAGTAAAATCTTTTTATCACTCAATAATTTGACCGCACTATAACACTTAAAGGACATTTTATTTAACTTAAATACTAATCCTACTAATATTATAAATGTGAAAATTTCTTTGTTTGGATGTTTGTCCGTCAATCACGTCAAACTACTGAACGGATTTTGATGAAATTTGGTATACCTACAGATAGTAAGTTGCTTACCTCGTTTGTTTGTTTGTATCGAGTAAACTTCGGAAATACTGACCCGATCAACTTTTTTTTTAACCTATGGCAAGCTAGATCGTATGCGGGTAACATAGGCTATACTTTATGCAGGCGAAATCACAGGAAATCAATTTTATATAATAAGAGCCCTTATTAAATTCTTATTATATTTGATAGATAAATTTCACATCCGAAACGTACAGTAAGATGTGTTTCAGTCAGGGCTCAGAGATAATTATGTGCCGAACGTAAACCTCGCTTGTGGTGAGACTTAAAATTCGTTCCTTTCGCCTTTTCGATGCGGTCGATGAGCGTTAATACCCTTTTAACCATCAAATGTTCGAGATGGAACAAATATTTAATTTTTTTATTATTATGTAGGTGTTATAAAGCAGACCAGGCGAAACTTACTCGTTTATTCAGCATCTGATGGTAATTCTCCCAATATCACATTGTTATATTTCTATATAAATTATAAAAACAATAATTAAAGTAGACTTTGATAGAATTTATTTGATGGATGGTCTTATGATGTTTTCAATAACGAACATAATGTATGCATAGCAAAAAGTTTGAATAGCCTTAGGAGAACTTTTACGTTCTTTTTGGACAAGTTTATTACTTTTTTGCTAAAGTAGAAATGCAACTATTTGCTCAAATAGGGGTGTTGACAACTTTTTGTAAAGTATTTATTTAAAAAAAATGTATAATTTCCCGCGATAATAACACTTTATGGCGTCTCAGCTCTGAGCTTTTAGTTTCAGAGCTGTCTTCTTATATATATACGTTTCTTCTTCTCTTCTTCTTCTTCAGCCTGTCTCTACTGTATCAGTCTAGGCCTCTTTCAGCATTTACCATTCATCTCGGGATTGAGCTCTTTCCAACCATTTGGAACCTGCAATCCTCTTGATGTCGTCTTTCCAGCGCTTTTGTGGTCTACCTCGCGGACGCTTATTTTCCCAGGGCCTCCACTCGAGGAGCCTCTTGCACCAAGAGTTTTCGTTACGGGCCACTTGTCCTGCCCATTTCCACTTAAGGTGCGCCACCCGCTTTGTAAAATCTGCGACTTTGCTTTGCTCTCGCAACTATTTATTTATTTTGTGGTCCAATAGTGACACTCCTACCAGCTTTCTCTCTATTGCCCTCTGGGCCACTTCCAATCTATTGATGGTGTCTTTGGTGAAGACCCAGGTTGCGGCGCCATGAGTGAGAACTGGTAAGATTCACTGGTTGTATATCGTGGCTTTTTGTACCGCAAAAATTTTCATTTTAAAAGCTAAGTCCAGTTTCGAGTAGGCTGCCCACATAAGCCTTATCCGCCTGTGAAGTTCGTTCGATTGGTTGTCCTTGCCCATTCTGATCTCCTGCATAAGGTTGAATATGAGTAAGAAGGGCGTGACGTCACGCGTTATTTGCGGTCACGTGACAACCAGCATAAAATATTTGTTCTTTCATAATTGGTTTCATCGATATTAATATAAATAAGCGTATAAGTATGATTATCGGTAATAGTATATTAAGCACTCCCAGAAAAGAAATAATATGTATTTATTTTTGTTTACTGTCTACACCCGTATCAACAACAGTTTCCAAACAAGTGGACCGCGGAACCGCATAAAATATTACTTTAGAAAAATAATTTAAAAAATATTATAATACTTTATTTCTGTTAGGTATGACATATTATATACTCGTAAAATGGATCCATGACTTTTAGTACTAGAAAAAAATAATTCATATCCAAAGGAAGTAGCAAGAAAGACCATGTGTTATGGAAATCTGATTAATAAAAGGTACCCCGTTTTTAGGGTGATTTTTGTACCTTACATTCTACATATTGATCCTGCCGAGAATAGAATCCGGGAACTCAGAGGTCTCGTTTGAATTCATTCAGTTTCTATTTGTTTTGATCATAATCCTTATATTAGCGGCTTTAGTTTTCGCTCTTAATAATGTAAATAGAATTTCAAGTGGCATCGAGCTAAGTCGTAATAGATTCTGATTTGTATCTAGTCAATAAGTTATTTGCTAATGTAGCAGAAATTTCTATTGCTGTATATCTGTCAATGATAGGAGTTATCGTTAATAAGTAAATTTTAAAATGTATAAGAAATATTAAATCATTACATAAATTTAGCTTTTTTATAAAAGTATAAGAGAAGTTATGGGATGAACCGGAATTAAATACTTATATGAAATAAAAAGTCTACAAAATGAATTCATTTACTTTTTATTCTTTAAGGTTATATTTATGTATTTTATCTTAAATTGATTAATGTTTGCTTTACCCATACCAATTCTGGAGAATTTTCTCTTTTGTAGGCACTTTTGAATTTATTTTCGGTCATTGTTTAGATAGAAATTTGACTTAGCTTTTATTTTAGCTTTCATTTCCTTTTTCGTAAATTTTTCTCAAACCACAAAAGCTCTTTAGGAATTAAATTTATTGTTTATATTTAATATATTTAATTTATGCTTTTGTTTTATAAAACGTTATCAACCATTGGTGACAACGCACGAGAAGAAAGTTGAACTTCTTCGACATTTTTTGAGATAAAGAACAAGCAGTTGATTGCCTGTTATCTAAATATAAATTTTTCTTTCCATTCGATTAGCATGGGAAATAGTTACACTTACTACTGCAGCGACGATGTATTAAAATAGTTTAAAAAGAGAGAGAAATTAAATTTTTTGTTGTAAAATTTCTCGTCGGTATTCCTCAGTGCAAAATTTATCAACCGATTATTATTTAATGAGGAAATCTGAAAAGTTATGTCTGATACATGTATATGTGTATTAATTTGCAAACGAATTTAGTAAAGTTTGTATCATATTCCGATGATAAAAATTCTGCCACCTGCGTGATAATTTACGCAGGCAAAATTGCAGGATATATCATCCAGTGTATTTATAAAGAGCTGTTTTTATAAATGTTTTAATTTACTTATTTTTATTATAGAAATGAGTCTTAAGTTTACCAAAGACAATCCGATTTTTTACTGAGAATAGGTTGCGGGGACGCGATGAGGGCAAGACTGTAGATAGAGTTTATGGGACGCCTGTATATTATATAAGAGTGGGATCATAATGCAGACAGACATACGCAGACATTAGTTGACTTTTAATAGGCACAGACAATGTCCCATATATCCGTTCATGCGGATTCAGATCAAGGGCTGACTAGACAAACCTGAATCGGTCTATATTCGGGACACAAACCAAGCCAACTGCAGTTGCCAGACATAACTATTATTATATTGTCACGTGCTATTATGCACTGTAGCGCGTGTGTAATAAGAATAATAATCGAGTGAAAGGTGTGAGATTCATTGAGGCAAGTGCGTCAGTGAATGCGCTGGATCGCGATGATGTACGACACGCGACAGTCGGGTCAGGTGGTGTGTTGCGCAAACTTAATACCGTCCGTTACATAACAATGCCGAGGAAGCTTTATATTCTTGACTCTTTGGATATATCATAGAAATAGTCATTAATCTGTATTAAAGAACCCACATATAAATTAGTTAATCAATTAATAATGATGATATTAGAGTTTAAATCCATTCCTAAAGCAGGTTTTGGCCCTTTGTTTTACTTCTGCAGTAATAGAGCTTTTATAGCATTAAAAGTTTGATTTATTAATTGTTATTCCCTTATTTTGACTTTTCCGTGTAGTCAATACAATACACAAAATGAACTGTCTAATATTGTCAACTTAACTTGTCTAATAAAATAATGATGATGTCTAATAAAAAATATATACATTCATTCAAAATCCAAACCAAAAATTTCGTAGTTCATATGATACTATAAACTTCTTGTACTTCCATAGAAGTCTTTTAGTCTTGGCAATAATTTAGTTTTTTTTTGGCAATAATAAGTAAAGATTCCCAAAAAGAGGAAAATTGCGGAAAAAGGGAAATTTTTATGCCATTTTTTATTTGCAATTTAGTTTTAATTTATTAGGTTCTTATAAGTATTTATAGTCATTTTTATACACACATATCAATTACTCTGAGAATACAGGAAAGAGTGAAAAAACCTTTACGATGAAAAAATTTTCTCCCTATGGGTGTTCAATCGCTAACGCTGATATTTTTTAAAATATATTTCTGTTTCTTTGAAATCGAGAAATTATGTTTAAAGTTGTTCTCTAAGATTTTCAGGTTCGATTCCCGATCGGGTCAAGATATAAATTCTATATTGTCTCTGCTTTAAGTGTTGCGGTACCATCGTATACTTGTATTATGGAAGCGACGTAATAAAAAAAGTTTTTTCGCATTTTATGTGAAAATTCATAACATTTTTTAATAAAGTTTATTTTAATTTAAAGTATGTATAGGTACCATTTTATTCGATAACTTTTTGCTATCTTTTGGTGAGACATGATACCATTGCTTTAGAAGTTTTGGGGTTTCTAATAAAAGAAACCGCGACAAGTGGTTTTTGGCAGTCCTCGCGTGATGCTAACCTAACATTGCCTATAGAATTCTGAAGCCACCGAAATAAGTGGAAATCTGAAGGTGCAAGTTCAGGACTAAACGGCGGATGTAGTAATACCTCCCAGACAAACTATCTTAATTTTTGCTGAGTGGCAAATATGTGTGAGTCCTAGCATTATCAAGATGAAAAACCAC